GTTTCTTTGATCACCTTTGCCTGCTGGTTGTCAGATTTGAAGAAAAGCAAAGTATCGTCGGCAAAGAGGTGTGAGATCCCCAGTGCACGGCGACAGATATGTACAGGGGTAATAGCACCCTGAGACACTTTATACTCCAGCAGTAAAGATAATCCATCAGCCACGAACAATAACAAGAATGGGGATAGAGGATCACCCTGCCGTAACCCGCGGGAAGGAGCAAATGTATCAAGTAAGGTTCCATTGAATTTGACAGAGAATCTCACCGAGGTTATGCACTCCATTATCCAGGAAACCCAACGATGAGAGAAACCCAACTTATACATTGATTGCTCCAAGAAGGTCCAATCCACGCGATTGTAGGCTTTGGACAAATCCAATTTGTAAGCACAAGATGAACTGTTTGGATTCTTGTTCTTCTGGATCGAATGAAAACACTCAAAGGCCAAGATAGCATTATCCGTAATCAGACGTCCTGGGACAAATGCACTCTGTGATTGAGAAACCAGCTCATCAAGGATAGGTCTTAATCTATTTACCAAGCACTTAGACACAAACTTATAGAGGACATTGCAGAGACTTATGGGACGAAAATCTTTAACCTCCATAGGTTGTTCAATCTTCGGAATGAGCACTATAGCAGTGTTGTTCACCCCTGAGGGCATAACTCCTGTCAGGAAGAAGGTTTTCACCACTCTCACTATATCTTCTTTCAACACACCCCAGTTCCTTTCATAGAAACGAGCTGGAAAACCGTCAGGACCTGGTGCCTTAAGCGGCCCTATCTGAAAGACAGCTGTGGCAATTTCTTCCTCAGAAAACTCTCTGCACAGGGATTCATTCATTTCAGGTGTTACTTTCTCCTGGATGAGGTGTATTATCTGTGTGTGATCTAAGGTACTATCAGCTGTGTACATCTCTTGGAAATACTTGGTAGCCATATCCTCCATCACTGTTGTCGAATTTTGTACAGTGCCTCCTGAGTCCCTCAGCCTGACAATTATATTCTTTTTCGCCCGCCAAACTGCTTTGCTGTGGAAAAACCGAGTATTTCTATCCCCTTCCTTTAGCCAGTTAATACGGGACCGTTGCAACCAAAGCATTTCCTCTCTATAAAGCATCTCATTCAATTTATCCGAAGCCTGTCGGATCAAGCGACTCTCAGCATTTGCCTCCATCAACGCAGCTATTTCCTTCCTATACTTCTCAATTTGACGACCTATATTCTTACACTTCTTCTTACTCCAACTGTGCAGGGCTAGCATAACTCTTCCCAGGGAATTATTTATATCCGCCAAATCAGACTTATGCCCCTAAGACGACCATGATTCGCTGATCAGTTCTGGTAGCTCTGCCTCATGTTCCCAGAAAATTTCATAGTGCAGGCACTTACGCTTTACTTGGAGACCCAACTCAGAGCTGAATCTTAACATAATTGGAGCATGATCTGAGCACGGAGAAGTCAGGTGCTCAACATGTGAATTACTAAACAAGGCTCTCCAATTATCATCTGCAACTGCTCTATCAAGCCGTACTTTTACATTATTCCAACCATGTCTCTTATTATCATACGTGTATGGAACCCCTTTAAAACCCAGATCATGAAGCTCACAGGTTTGCATGATATCACGGAAATCTTGCATTTGGTTCTCACTGCGTTGCTTCCGGGAAAAATGCTCAAATTGCCACAGGGCTTCATTAAAGTCGCCCAAGACTAGCCAAGGCAAAGTTGAACTCTGGTGTATAGTATATTTTCTACCCTGGGCTCACCATACACAAAGGTAGTGTAATGGATTCAAATTTCAGGGAAAAATTTTTGCGAAATATTTTAAGTCATGTTCTTCTTGATTCTTCCGTTGGAGTAATCTCGTTTTTAATCTCTTGTTTAATTTGGATCTAAACTTTATTTGCAAAATTTATCGCTCTCTTTTTAATTTTATAAAAACCCCTCTGTTTATTTTATTTAATCTTTAACTTTGGCTCTAAATTATATTTTCTTTAAAACCCTTTGAATTCTATTTAAATTCTTTGACCAAGATTCAAAAAGTCCACATCCACTCATCCCTTAGATTTCATCTCCTTTAAATTCTACTCAAAACCCTCTACACAAAATTCCTAAGAGTTCCCATTCGAATTCTTTAACCAGAATCCAAAGGTTCACAAATGACCTCCTTTGAATTATCATCATCTTTGAATCCTATTTTTAAACTCTCTTTGATTCTATTTCCTTGAAATCTATTCAATTTCATCCATACAAAATAATCAAAGATCCTGTTCTTTTGGGCCAAAAACCCCTTTCTTTTGGCCCATCCCTTTTTCCTTCCACTTATTCCTTCTTGGGCTGCCGGCCCAGCCGAGCCGAAGCCCAGCCGAGCCGGCCAACCGAGCCGCTCCTCTTTCTTCCTCCTGTGGGCGCACTTGGCGCACGCACATGGCGCCGCCGCCGCCCAGCCAGTCCGACGCCGCCACCTTGCCGTGCCGCCCACGCCGTCGCTGCCAAGAAACCACCATCGACGTCATCCGCCACCTCACGCCGCCGACGTCAGCCGCCGAACCGAACCGACATCACCAGCCAATCAGCGGACAGAGCTGGCGCCGTGCTCCACTTCTCCACGCCGCCGTCGCCGAGTTCTCCTTGTTTTCCTCCTCCGCAACCGTCTTACGCCACCGCCTCTCATCGCCTATAAATAGACGACGATGCCCTCTATTTTCCCACACATCCGAGCTCTCCGAGCTCTTCTTCTCTCTCTCCTGCCATGACCGACTGATGCCTGCCACCGGCCGATCTCCTCCTCTGTTGCTTCCCTGCCTATTCCCTTTCACCATAGGCTTTGCCTCACTCCGGTGATTCCATTTTTCCTATTTTCCCCTCTCCTTTAGCCACTTCCACCAGTCACCACCGGCACCACCATAGCCGGCCGGAGCTGAGCTCTTGTTGTTGCCGTTCCGGCCATCCTCTTTTCTCCCTATGTCTTCCACCGACCTTCCCGGATGCGCAGCGAGCGGGAACACGCTTGGCCGCCGCCGTCGAGGCCGTTCAACCACCGAAGCACCGGCGCCCTGCCCCTCTTCCTCTCTGTTGTTGCTCGGGAGAAGAAACAGAAGGAAGGAGAGAAGAACGGGAGGAAGAAGAAGAGACATATGACAAGTGGGCCCTCTGCACAGTAACTTTTCTCTTTTATTTGATTTTAATTCAATTTCAATCTTTAGACACCCATATCTTTCCAACCACAAATCTAATCCCCGTGAACCTTTGATCGAAATTCATCTAATTTCAAACCCTCCCTTTTGATACCAAATTTCCTATTTTAAAATTTTATTTTAATATCTTTTTGATTTATCCTAAATCCCTTTAATTTTAAATTTCTTAATTTATTTAAAAACCTTTTTAAAATTAAATTATCTTTAAATATATTTTCTTTATTTATTTAATTACCTTTTCTTTATTTCTTTTAATACCATTTTTTAAATTCTATCTATTTAAAAACCCTTTTTGAATTCAAATTCCTTTGATTTATTTAAATACTTCTTTTTATTTTTAAACCATTCTTTAGCCACCAAAAAAGCTGCCGTGGGAACTTTACGCCTTCCATGGAGATGTTCGCGTGGCCTTAAACCCCGACGTCGAACCGAAGATCGTAAAACCCGGCATAACCTAATCCTAAGGTCGAAGTGTTGCTCTTCGCACTCCACGCCTCGACGCGTATAGTTGTCGAAGCCTCACTACTCTTTCGATCTCGACAACACGCCACACACTAGTCTTTGAGCTACGTGTGATCCTAGCCGCTCTACTGTCACACACGACTGTAGAGTAACACTATTCCATAAACCTGCACCAACCTCTCAACTCCCTAGTCGTTGGGCTGCTTAACTGTAGCATCGACTAGACGAGCAAAACATTTAGCCGATATGCTGCCCATCCTTAACATCGGCTAACCAACTCCACATATCTAGCCGTCGTGCTGCCCTATTCTAGCACCGACTAGAAACCAAATCCACCAAATAAACCCCACCTATCCAAAATTATTCTTTATTTATTCAATCTCCAACCTATAGAAACCATCACCTCTCTTTTATTTTCAAATTAAAACTTCTTTTAAACCCATTACTTTGTCCTCTCGCCTCGCTCCAATTTTATTCCTTGGCTTTATCGTTTCTTGTAGCAATTTTGCTTATAGGCTTTATTTTCTATCTTTTTTTGTATTCGTACGTTAGACCGTACATCAAGTTCTATCAGCATCCAAGGAACTGACGTGGACCCAGATGGCTACGCTAAAGCCGCAGGAAATCTTAAGGCGCAAGGCAAGACATAACTAAAATTTTGATCATATAGAAACCTTGATATAATCTTCACATTTAAATTTGATACATGGTATTTACTCTTTTAACATCTCATGGGTAGATGTTATACTTCAGAATAACATTGCGGTAATTATTAATGCTTTCTAGCATTGTTACATGAGGTTATTGAAAAGGGTGCATTTGAGATCATTTTATGTGGTTTATTATTCAAACAACTTTACAAACTTAGGAATCCGGTTAAAATGGGCATTTATGAATTGAGATTGTGAATGTTGTGATTATGAATGTTGATATATGATGAAGTTTGTTGGTGTGGGGAGTTTGGAAAGTTTTGGGTGATTTAACCGAATTATAATTACCCCCTTATACCATGGAAATAATATAGTTGCGTCCATCCACACGATCAAGTAATTGGACTTAGCCTAGTACATTGTCCCACTATATGAAAGACTGTTGGTTGGCTCACTAGGAGCAGGATTGGGGTGAACGCATGCGTAAGGAGGTTGGGGGCATGGTTCACAACGGTGGAACCCGTGAAAGCAGCGACCATGTAGCCTTGCCTAGGCCTGGCAAGTGCCCGACTGCTAGGACGGATCAATATCCCACTCGTGCAGTAACTAGTAGTAAGTGGGACCTTCGAACGGCTCTGGTGTCCTCAGCCTTGCAAACTGTTAACATCGTGTGGGTAAAGCTGGACAGTCTCTGCAGAGGTGAATTAAATCATTCGAATGTGCCGTACTCCCGGTTCTGGAGTTGTGTCATCAGGGTGATTCCTACTCCTAAAGTATAAGTAGTTTTAAAATTAAAGAGTTGAGGATAAAAATGATTTATGGTTTTTATTATTCTTTTATTTTATTATTGTTTATTTATTCATATCTATTTACCCTTAATTATTTATAATATGTCTTGCTGAGTACATAAGTACTCACTCTTGCATAATTTGACATATGCTAACAAGAAGATCAGAAGGAAGAAGCAAGGTCTACGGCATCGACGAGTTTTTCTAGGCTAGTCTACACTCGAGCTTTTGCCTGTGGATTTTCTTTGGAGTTTATTAGTTGTAATTTAGTGAACTAAAAGTTTGGATTTTTCTTGTATTTCAAATAAGGATATATTAGTTTGGATCTTTTCACCCTTTAACAGTTGTATAATTAGCTTGTATGAACAAACCTGTGTAAATAATCGAAAGCTGTTCTGTATATCAATCTGTGCGTGATCGAAATCCTGGACGATCACGAGTGGATTTTTGGGGCACCAAGCCTAAATTGGGTGTCCTCACAGGTAGCATGCCACATCGGGTCCTCCTGGGATAAACGAATATAAGCATCAATGTATCTCTCATTCATTCCTTTTATTTCAACATAAACAGACTCATCCCAAAACAAAGCCAACCCACCACTTAAACCTTCACAACTTACACTAGCACACCCTTTTAACCCTAATCTATTCCGAAGCCGACGAACTTTTTCAAACTTTTGTCTCGTCTCACAAAGAAACACAATTTTGGAACCAGCCTCCCGACCAAGGCACAAAGATCCCAAACTGTCGTGGGGTTCCCAATGCCACGACAGTTCCAACTTAAACAACTTATTGCTCCTGGCGAGTTCCCTTCATGGAACCCGCCAGTTTACCAGCAGCCCCAGGGCTGGTTGCTTCCGACTCTCCCCCCACCAAAGCTTCCCTGTCTGTCTTCTTGAATCTTTTGAACTCCCTGCCTTGAAAACCTATCTCCGGCGCCTGTTTCAGCATAGCCGCTGGCTCCTGTCCTAGCTCAATCAACGCCTGTTGAACCCTGCCTGTCTTCTTGAGTCCACTTTGTGCTGGTGTACTCCTCTTTTGGGCTGATAAGACATCTTTTGTTGAGACTTCTCCAAAAGATGCAGCTTGCTGCAAATTAGCCATCGCCGGTATCATCTCCCCCTTTGAGCTAGGCTCTGAGGATTTATTACCTCTGTTGCCCCCTGTTCGCTCAACTTCTGCAGAAACATTGAGTTTTCTAGCGTGGCTGGCCAACTGTTCATCCACCAACATATCCCCTTCCTTCTCCTTGGTCTCAAAACCATCACGGGCATCCACTCTCGGGGGGATAGCTTCATCCCAATGTTCTTCTTGAGGTCTCTTGGATGATGATGAGTTTGCACTTCCAGCACCACGGAAGACCAATCTGTGAGAGACCTCGGGCTTCTGAGTAGCTTTAACCTTGCCAATCTTCCTCTCAAAAGGCTTAAGAGGAGAGCATCTCAGTTCAGCCGAGAATTGGAACGGTACCTCATTATTTGCACCCTTCTTATCACATTCCTTATCTGAGTGGCCGATATACCCACACATAAAGCAGAAGTATGGGATCCTTTCATAGCGAACATCAAATCTCTTAATCTCCTCCTTGCCTTGAACATGCATTTTAATTGCAATCTTTGGTTTCGGGGGTTTCTTGACAGGCAGGTCCACCCTGATCCTAAAGAAGTCTCCTCCTTGCCTTGAACATGCATTTTAATTGCAATCTTTGGTTTCAGGGGTTTCTTGACAGGCAGGTCCACCCTGATCCTAAAGAAGTCATGTCTATTCCTTCCGTCTTCTTCCACATCCACCTCCCGAACACAACCAAATCTGCTCCCATATAGCTGGCCTCTGGCTTTGGTCATTAAAACCAAGGGGAGATCGTAGATACGAATCCAGATCGGTACTGTCTCCAATGGGATTTTTGAAGGGCAGGTTAGACCGTCAAATGCCGCAACCAGCAGGGCATCTCCCTTATGCAACCAGGGACCTCCTTGCAGGACGAACTTGTAATCACCCTCTGTGCTAAAGGTGATGATGAACAGGTTGTCTCTCAGGGATTTGTGTGTCATATCAGAACGCAGCCGCCATGCTCTACTCATATCTTCAAAAAGCGCAGTTTGATTTGGATTACGTAGAGAGTAGAACCGAGCAAGCACGGTCCAGATACCATCCTGCTTGATCTCTTCATCCTCTATATTCCTCTATCACATCTTCCTCATCTGTTTCGATCTCTCCCACAGTACAGGCTTCAGGTCCTCTTGACTGACTGCTTGATTCCTCCTCCCTGCGAGGTCCTAACTTCTGATTCCCCTGGGACAGTGCCGCCTCCATGTGAGTATTTCCTCCCAGCAGATTACTCCCAGCAGGATTCGTCGCCGCCAACTCCAAGCCTAACCCTTGATCTGACAGACTCAACAAGGCATCCTCATTCGGCTTCGGGCGGGTAATCATCGCATTGATGATCCCTTTATCGCCCCCACCTATGGAAGACACCATAGATTGGATCTGGAGATCTTGACCACGAAACAGGGGTGAACGAGACCTTGACGCTGTTCTCTTTGGATCTTGTGAAAATACTGCCTTCAGCCCTCCCTGATCGTTCCTTATAAAGGGTTGCCTCTCCGAGTCCCAATCTTTCACGAGATCATACCAAAGGCAACACCACAGATCATGACCTAGACCATAACGAGGAATAACAGATTGGAAACCACTAGAACAAATCCGATTCTGGTTTGGAAACCTAGGGCTTGTATATCCCCACGGAATTACCCAGGGTAGACGACTTCCTCTGCCCCACGGTGATTGCAGAACAAACCCTAATTCAACATCTATTCCAAAACCCTGATCTTTACCCAAAACCGAAGAGGATCGAGCAGGCGGAACCCCTGCAGACATCCAGAGCAGATCGGGGATGAACCCCATCCAAAACCATCGCAAAGTTTGAGTGCAGGCCGCCGCCACCCGATCGCCCGGGCGTCGCCAGAACCCTAAACCCATGTGTCCCTGTGAAGGCTGACGTAATAGATACTCTAGTAAGCAGAAATTTAAGTATATGGAGCTACAAATGTTATTGGATGAACAATGCCATGTTCAGGCATTCTGCATGTTATGGCTGCATTGGTTGGAGTCCAAGAATCACGGTTTTCTTGTCATCAAGTCTAACCATAATATCTCCATCTGAACAAACAAGCAGTAAGCATGCAATAAACAAACCATATCCAGGCAAAATGTTATAGACAAATCATTTGAAAAGAAATGAACAGGGAAGCGATCTCTACAAGGGCTGTCAACGAGCCGAGCTCGAGCGAGCTCGTCTGCCTAGGCTCGAGCTCGATACAAGCTCGAGCCGAGCTCGAGCTGAGCCTATAAAATTTTCAAGCTTTCAGACAGGCTTGGCTTGATCAAGCTCGAGCTCGACTACCGAGCTTGATTTTTAAGTAAAACAATATATATTTCAAAGATAATCTTTAAAAAATAATTAATTTCTAGTTCATCATATTAATAGATGAGGAAAAAAGAATAAAATAAATATATGATGTCAATATAAGACATACAAATAACATATTTGATCTACTAATTTATTAAATAACAACAAAAATCATATATTACTAGGCTCATTGGAAGCTCGAGCTCGGCTCGACAAAGCTCGCGAGCTTAGAGAGAGGCTCGGGCTCGGCTCGTCTGGAGCTCGAGCCGAGCTCGAATCGAGCCTAGAACAAGCCGAGCTCGAGCAGCTCGCGAGCCTCGAGCTTTTTTGACAGCCGACTACACATGGGAATGACACTGCAGCGATCTAGCTAACACATTCCTTTTCTTCAGAAAATGCAGCGGTATGGAAAGATATAGTGTCCAGAAAAGGCAAAAACTACTTTATTTCTAGTTAATTCTTTGCTATAAATAGACTATGGCATGTTGTGCTCAAACAGAAGAGCAATGATATATTGTGCAAGAATACATTTTATTGGATGAGTTATGCAGGATATTGTACAGGGGCGAAGCCAGAATAAATGATCGTCGGGGTCATTACTAATCAGGGTCTATGTTTTCAACCAAAACGGATTGAAAACAACGCAATTTCGATGTTCCAACTTGGGACAAAAGTAGATTTTGAGTGAAATTTGGAATAGTTTTTCAAGAATTCAAATTTGAAATTGTAAAATTAAACCAAATTAATAAAAAAAAATATCAAATTTTGGTTAAAAAAAAGCCATATTGCTATATTTGGAATCTAATTTTAAATCGAATTGGTGAACCCTGATACAATCTGGGTGTTCAGACCTAGCTACGGGATCTGAACCCTTCCCTCCCAGCACGCAAAATAGAGCGAGGTTACCACATAATTAATTAAGCATTATTAGCTTATAAAAAACTTGAAAGACAATAGATTAATAAGGTTTTTAAAACAATTTCCTATAGAAATTATTTTGCAAGGGAATTTGTAAAGTTATGAGCCGCTAGCCTTATGCATGGTCTCAAATCTCAAAAACTCAAAGTATATGCATATTCGGCTGACGTATAATCATAAATGCTAGGTAATTTTCTATTTGTTGCTGCTAGTATCGTTTCTAGTTGTCAATTGGAATTTAACACAACAATCAACAATTAATGTCACCGGGGTCTAATATTTGTTTTCACCGGGGTCATAGCTAGTAAAATAAAGAGGATATGAGAGGTTAAAATAAAATCATCGGGGTCTACTGACCCCGGTAATTGACTGTACCTTCGCCCCTGATATTGTAGACGAGTCCATGCCACCTTTCTTGTTTACAACGAATAGGTTACTCCGTAATTCAATTTTCTGTTCCCGACTCCTGAGAGAGGAGGGATCATTCAATCAGTAACATTACAAACTTCATACACAAATCTAAAATATTAAACAGGGATTATTAGCTCTTAATGTGGATTTGTCCAATCTTATTTGATCTAATGGTAATGTGATTCTGTTTTACAAAAACCAGTCACCACACAAACAGGACACATGAAAAATGCTTATGAACCATGACACAAACATGAATTCAAGCACTAAATATCTCACTTCGCTGAAGCATAAAGCAAATTCAGAAAGGCATGCAGCACAAAATCCACAATAATATGGCAGAAAGAATTGTCACCAGAGAATACATTACATATGAAAAAGCAGAGGCACAAAATGTGACGAAGTGTGAGCACCTGGACAGAACAGCCCTGGAACAGACTAGTATACTTCCCAAGTCAATGGTTGTTCTAAAACCTGCAACTAAACTGGCAGAGTGAGGCGCTAGAGAACAAATATAAAAGGTGTCACCAAAATCTAAATAAATGCTACCCTACACAGGCCTGAATTAGGTACAGAGCCACCAAAAACTCAAAGCAGGAAATCGAGTGTCAAAGAAACGAAAATACATAAACAGATCAGTAATGCAGAATGATAAACGAGAGAGGCACACAAAGGAATCACCTTGAACAGAAAAGGCACCGAGCTGGTGGACAAGTCCAGCCTGCAGAACCATAAGGGTTAATTACCAGCGGATGGTAACTGCAACAATAAGGTACCACACCACGGATTAGGAAATATCAGGCAACTAGCTGCCTCTGCTGATCAATAGTTCATTCTGCAAAGATAATGAAAAACTTTGAAATTAGTAGCAGAACTGTATTTCGCTAACGAACAAATGTCATTCTATACACATCAAACAGCAACTCATGCACTTTACAGATCAACCAAACTTTTTGCATTCTCTCTAGTTCTCCTTAAGTTGATGAAAAATTGAAGTAAAACTAATCATCTGAGAAATCTTCTCTCCCTAAGAATCTTATTTATCCAACCAATCTTGTCATCTAGGCCAGCGAAATGAACCATAAAGTCTCCATCTGAATAAACCCCTGCACATTGCACAATCAATTGGCAATGAAAAAAACTTACCGTAAACAAATTAAAAAAGAACTAAAGCATGGAACACGGGAATCTCTACTTGAGTGACTGGCGCTAAAAGTTATAGAACCACTAAGCTGAGTTGACAATTTCAATCTCTTCTGAAATTAATGCAGGAATAGACAACAATAAAAGGTATCATGCATGTGAATCAAAATTTTATTAACATTACAAATATCAACCACAGCACAAGTATAATGTATCCAATTCTAAAGTGTAAGAAAATGAGGTTTTTAAACAAAGGATTAAGGTTTTAATCAAAATTACAATGTGTAAATTCTCTTTTATAACCAAACAGGCATAAACACCAAAGAAAATTAGTCATAAAGCCAAAAGTATTTTCAAATTAAATTAATTTGGCCATGGGCACCAGGAGATTAAGTAGATAAATCCAGATAACTCCTATAAATCCCAGTTCTAAAATCCATCTAAACCATATTAAATATGTAATGTAGAGTGATTATGAAAACAATGAGACCTTTCCATGTAGTAGAAAGATGGAAAATAAGGCGATGCATTGATTTCCATGTGGGTCTCCAAGGATAGGAATTAAATAAGCACTGCATTTTTGCAATCCGAACATGTTCTTGCATTTCTTCAGGTGAAAAGTGATCTATAAGATGCTTCAATGCTGCATTATCTCCACTTTTTGTGGAACCAAATTGTATGAAGGATGTAAGGTTCCACCATGTGTCCAGAAACTTCTCACTCCACTTTGAGCCCCGTATGAAGAATACTCCTGCATAGCAAGGGGTATGGATATATTACTTCATGAAGCCATGAATGAGGCGTTATCCCCCTTTTAGTTTGCAAATCTCTGTTGATAAGAACAGAAGGAGTAGAAGATACAAAGAAACATGAAAAATGCACAATTTGAAATGCATATTTGTACTCCCAAAGGGAGTAGCTATATTTATGGCACCATATTTTTCACCAAAAAATAGTTGGTATGTATTTACATTACAAGTCCCTAAATTACATATGTAATTTTAGTGTATCTACAATGTAAGTCCCAAAATTACATTGTAAGTGGTGTGTAAGTAGGGTGTAACTACTGTGTAAATTTGTATAAATATATAAATAACTACCTACCTAGCTTGTAGTTGTTGCGCAACAGCACGTGCGAAAGCTACTCACACGAAGCAGCACTAATCTTGGAAAAAATCGGACCCCCATTGTAATGAGCCAGAAAAAGTGGCGACACAATTCTAGCAAAGCCGGTCCCCCATTGCCCCCCAACAACCATTCATGCTAAGCAGTGTGATTCCTATTTTAACTTGGTAATTTAGCATTAGAAAATATGCTTATTTGTGGTTGGACAAGCTATAAAATAAGTTGTACACATGTCATGATAGTTATCATTAATTTCATGGGAACGTGATTTGGAAAATCCCTGCACAGAAAGGAAGCGAATGCTCAATTATGCAATACCAGCGTTAACACCATTGAAATCCTCCGTCAGGATGAGATCAGGAGCAGCATCAAAATCACTGTGCCCAATCACCGAGAACAAAATCATCTCCTGCATTACATAATAATGAGGACATAATATTTTGATTAAACAAGCAACTCGGTAAAACTAAACACCAGTAGTACCTCCCAACATTGAAGACCCCTTCTGCACGTGCAACTAGAACCACAACTATTTACGCAACATTTATTGATTACAAAAAAATTGTTTATAAGAATAATGCATCCGACTCACCAACGGGATGTCCGGATTTGTAACCAGTGTGTCCTGAAGCAAACCAGAAGAAACACATACAATTAGGCCTAAACTTCCTAACAATAACAAAGAGACATTACTTAATTTTGCACAATAGAAGAAATGTGGCGGCGTCGGTCGAACCGCGTCGTTCCAGAAGAGCCAGTGGTGGTGGTGGAGGTGGAGGTGGGCGCGGAGGGCGAGGACCTTGCTCCAGCTAGGCGGGCGGCGGGGATCAACGGAAGCCGCGGGGAGCACGGCGAGGCCGTACCCGTGCGCTGCCGCGTAGGAACGCTTGTTCCGCGCGGTGGCCGCCAGCACGCCGCGGAAGGACCGCCCACGCCTGCCGCGGTCCTGGTCCGAGCCCGACGCGGCCCCCTCGTCGGAGAGGGTGACGATAGCGATCTTGAGGAGGGGGGCGGCGCGCGGGAGGAGGACGAGGTCGCCGGCGGCGGCGCGTGGCGGCGGAAGGCACCGGCGACCGAGGGAGTTGGCGCGGCGGAGGAGGACCCCGGGCGTGTACGGAAGTAGCAGGAAGAGGAGGAGCGCTGCGGGGAGGAGGAGCAGGTGGCGCGGGAGGAGGCGGCGCAGGAGGCGAGCGCTGGAGGAGGCGGCGCGGCGCGGCCGTGCGGGCGCGGCCATCGGTGGGGGGCCGCTCTCGCCGTCGCCGTCCTCGCGCCGCTGGACTGGAGAGAGCGGAGCGCAGCGGAGACGCTGTAATTAGTTTATAATAATTAATTAAAAGACGGGACGGGAATTTGAGGATTCCTAGGTCGTCATTCGTCAACAGTGACAGAGTTTAGCAGGGGAATCATCGATTTGAGAGCTTTTTTTTTAAAGAATTGCACAGTACAACGCAGACACTCACAACGCACGCGCACTCACCCCTATGAACACACGCACGCAAACCCTACCCCTATGATCGATTTGAGAGCTTTGAGTATATATGTCGAGTGACATTCGCCTTGCGAGCTTAATAGTTCCCCTGCTAAACTATTAAGATAGTTTAATAGTATAGCAAGTTTAAAAGTATAGCTGGCTACCACTACCAGCTCTAAAATGTTCCATGTCAACAAAAAATGATGAAAAAAGATAGCTTGTACAACTAGTTACTCCCTTCGTTCCAAAAAGAATTAACCTGGGAGGGATTCCCTTCTAGGACAATGTATCTGGGCACAAATGAGTCCAGACATCCCCTCCTAGGTTGATTCTTTTTTAGACGGAGGAAGTACGTTGCACATTTCTCTAAAAAAATATTTTCTAATTTTCTAATCTAACCGCTCTTGTAATTGGCAAGACAGGCATGCATGAATGAAACAATGTGTTGGGGCTAGCGACTAATTAAGCGCCAGCCTTTCTCTCTCCTTTCATTCTCTTAGCTCCACCTCAGCGAAAAACTAAGTTGTTTATTCCTATCGCCGGCTAACATAAGCCTATTGAACATGCTTCCCAAAAAACATCGATTTTATCGGGAAGAGATTGTCCCAAGAAAACCGATCTCTACTTAGAAAACAAGAAACATTCAATGGTCTTCTTCTGTCTCTCTCTTATTGTTCACACTTCACACGAGAATCTTATCTCCTCCGGTCCTCCCCCCATCTCTCTCCTTTACCTTATCTCCTCCCACCAATCTCTCTCCTCTAGAGAAATTGAGCACACACGGCAGCTAGCCTTCACCGCTCCACCGCTCCCTCTCCCCCTCAGTCATCTCCCGCTCCCCCCTCTCCCTCTCTCCCTCTCCACCCCCCCTCTCCCTGCTAGTGGCCTTCCGCATCAACCTCGATGTGGCGGTAGAGGCAGAAGCTTGCGAGGAGGGAGATCCAATGCAGGCGACGGTGGCGTTGGATGGATGTGACTCAGATGTGACGGTGAAGGCAAGGAGGGGGAGATGTTGGAGAACGCGAAGGCGATAGGGAGATGTGGCGTCATTGTCGGTGGCGGAGGTGACGAGGAGATGCGGTGTCACCAGTGGCGGTGGAGGCGACGGGGAGATGCGACGTCGGTGGCGGCGAAGGCGACGAGGAGATGTGGAGTCCGCGGCGGCGGCGGAGACAACGAGTGGATGCAACTCCATTGGCGGCGGAGGCAACGAGCGGATGTGGCTTCGTCGGCGGCGGAGGCTTGTATGTGGTTGTTTGATGCATGGCTTGCGGTAGTAAAGGCAAACAATGCCGCATTTCTTTTTTTCTCTGGGTTCTTGCTATTGCTAGTAATAGTAGACAGTAGTTCTTACAAGTGAATCCAGAGCATTTCTTTTCTCAATTGGAGATATTTTTTTGGAGTATTTGCTTTCGGCAAGTGAAAATTTTTGAACTTTTGGCATTTTTTATTCTACGTTAGATGTCTTTGGCTGTGTAATTAACACATGCAGAGGAACGACAGTAACAAATGGATGTAGTTAATGAGGGCATTTTCATCTTTTCACATTAGTACTAAACTTGCATCGAGGATCTAGGATTCGACTTTTTTCAGGACTGAGGGAGTACAAAAGAACATAACCATCATGTTGTCACCCTACATGAGATTCCCAAAGGTTCCCGTCCCACTGCTAGAACCGGCTGCCCATTTAGAACATTATCAAGGATACAACCTAGAAAATGTTGGTTACAACTCCCGAAGTGGTAGCTTGATAAGTGTATTACACATTTTTTTTATATAGTTGAGTGTACTACACATTTACAGTGGTACTTGAATGCTCTGCGAACATGAATATAGAACCGGCAAGTTCAAGACCTATCTGATTGCCACTCAGAACTCTATAGAAGGACTATGATGCGCTAGCTCGAGGAGAGTTGGAGGAGGAAAAGGAGGTGCACCTCAAGAGAATCGTCACCGACCAAACTTTCATGCTCCCTAGAATGGACAAAATTGTAAAGGAAGCACAAGGCATTCCTCAGTTCACAGCGTAGCATGGTTGAGATCGATAGTCAACTTTATAGGTCGTATTCAATGTCACTGGCATGCTCTCGAAACATGCATAGCATGGCCACATCTCACCTCGAGCGACTGTCATATATTGTCCAAGCCAACGAGTTTGCTACCCTAATCCATATATTGGATTTACCTTTGGTTATGAATCTACATCATCGGCAAGTGTCTTTCGCCAATTAAGAAGGCCAAGAGCGCCAAGAAGATCAAGGCGGCAAGAATAATTGCATTAGTTGTAGCGAAGAGGAAGATGATGGCAACGAGATCGCTGATCTGGTAATATTATAACCAGCATTGAATTTTGCTAACCACCATTGAATTTTGCTTGAATAAATGCTACTCCCTTCATTTCACTCGTTCTATATTTATCCTAAATCAAACATTTTAATCTTTGGCCATCAATTTCTATAAACTCATACTCCCTCCTTCAAAAAATTTGAGACCTATTTCTTTTTGCATCAATACCAAGAAGCAATTAACTCACTCACCATGTGGCAAAACCAATGAACATGCCACCAATAAGTATTAGAATGACTTTTTGGTTTTCGATCAACAATTAGCACATAGTGACTACAAATAGGACTTAGATTTTTGGAAAAACCAAAGAATGAAATAGGTCTCAGATTTCTGGAAGGAGGGAGTATAATTTAACATAATATAAGTTCTATATCTTTTGATTCGCCGTGAAAAATATTTTTATAATATATATTTCACATGTTGTTAATCTGTACGGATTTCTATGAATTAAATGTTAAAGATAAACAAGTTCGACTTATGACAAACCTATAATGATAACTAATTTGAAACGGATGAAAATAATCCTCATGTTATACTCTTTGAGGGCCTCCGTTTTTATGCTGCCCTAGGCCTATCAAATGTCAAGACCGGCCCTGAACTTGGAAAACAATATCTCCGGTGAGTCTTCACCAATCGACCTCTCATTCGATCAGTCTCAATCGAGTATCAAGATAGCAGATACTCTCCCTCCATCTTAACATAAGTGCATTTCTAATATTTAAAATTTCACTTATTTCTAATATTTAAAAATTTATATCATAAAAAGTAAACTTTTAGCTTATGGACTACTCCCTCCGTCTCATAAAGACTTCGTTTTCAGTTTGTCTCATAAAGACTTCGTTTTCAGTTTTTGGCTACATCGTTTAACGTTTGACTCTTCATCTTATTTAAAAATTTTCAATGATTAGTATTTTATTATAATTATTAGATGATAAAATATGAATATTATTTTATGCGTGACTAATTTTTATTTTTCATAAATTTTTCAAACGAAACGGACGATCAAATGTTAAATACATAAAAAAATTAAGTCTTTGTGGAATGGAGGGAGTACTTAGTATAGGTGAGGATCATTAAATCCACGCCCACAACCAATAAAAATGGCGAATGGTAAAGACACAAAGGTCATTTCACGATAGTATCGGTTATTTCATGAATACTAATCTATTCATGTTATTGCTAAAAGTACGCTTAAAAAGACTACTTTTTTTAAGGGACAGTGGGAGTATATAATAGTATTCTTTTGTAAATAAATGACATCTTTTCAATGCACAAGAAATGAAAAAGGAAACAAAGTTACACTGTTCGGTGGTAATTACCTCGTGCATGTGTTGTTGTTTTTTTTTCTTTTCTTTTTTTTGGGGGGGGAGTCGGGTTTTTATTAACGGAAAGTCCAAAACACATGATTTTTTTAATTTTGTATTTTTTATTTTTAAAATTTTATTAATAGACCATTCTAAAAGATATTTCCAAATCTGAACCTTTCGGCCAGGCGTGGACAAATAACTTTGTCACACCACGCTAGCCTCTTGCCACACCACCAATGCTGGTGTGGCCAAAAGGTTCAGTTTTCGGAAATATTTTTTTGAAGTGGTCTATTAATAAAATTAAAAAAAATTAAAAAGTCTAAAAAAAATTCCGAAACACATCTCGGTTTGTCAGAGAAGCGACAGCCACCACGGTCAGTGCTTTCACATTTTTCAGAGAAAAAAAACAGAGCTCCTGAATGTTCAACAGTAAGTTCATAAATAATAATGTATATTCAATGAAAAAAATCAAGTATCTGTGCTGTTTAAGCACATCAAGTCAAAGTGATCACTAGAAATGCGTAATACATTTGGAAGATTTTTGCATTGGTTTAACTATTTGAGCTTTTGGCTGAAACCAGGGAGATCAATGACCTGGATCCTTGATATACCTTCTGCGTCTTCCCTCTCTTTTGGTGTGTTGTAGCCCCAGTTCACTGCCCAAAAGGCATCCAATCCATAAAAAGTAGTTCAGAAGTGATCAAATGGTTATTAGAATAACTAAAGGCATGGCTTACCCAGGTAGAGGTTCCATTGGTCCAGTGCTGGCTCTTTAATGACATTCTTCAAAGTTGCAAGACGGTCCTCAACGAAACTGGTTATGTTGCATCAGAAAGAATTAACTTGTTAAGTCTAATTTATTACTGCTTAACTCTTAACAGTACACGATTATTTGAAGTAAAAAACAGAGTGCTCAAGGAAGTAGTTGTTCTTTACTTTTGAGTATTATGGAGATAGTATTGTCCATGTTATACATTTGTAAACAATATATCTAAATAGTTCAAAATATGATTTACAAAGTTATTGTCATCTGACAAGGGAACATCGTTCTTTTGAGAAATTTGCTCCTTTGCCACAAAGGTCAGTGGCGTACTTATATTTGCCACACACTTCATCGGCTTTGCTCTTTTGCCACATAATTTGGTGCAAATCCTTTCATTAACTAATAACATTTACCCTAGCAAAATATCAAGTTTACTCTTCTCCTTCCTCCAGCACTGAACCTCCTCTTGTTGGCTTACCCACAGCCATTGGGCTGGCACTGTGGACCTCTGGCTTCCATGTGCTTGACTGCTTCCAACCTGGCTGACCAAGGTGGAGCTCAAGCCAAGGGGAAGAAAGTTACTTGGAGCTCGGTCTAGAAAGAAGAGGTGACGATTAGCGAAGCAGGACCATTGCTGTCCGGTGGTTGCAGTGGAGCTTGATCAACACCATCAGAGCCTGAGCTGAGCCGACGCCAGCTCAATTATTGCTCACCAAGACCCACATAGGGCCTCATGTGCCCGTCCATTCCTACCTGGTGAAACCCAATGGCCTAACCTCCTCATCAACACTAGAGGCACCAGCAACAGCTCCTCCGCCTCCAAGCTCACAGCCTTCATCCTGTCCAGCAGTGCGCTTACCATCAAGGCATCAAGGTCATGGAGTTCTCCAGCCTTCGCATCCCCATTGCCGCCACATAGTTCCCTTCCATCGCCATCCGCAGAAGCTCACATACAGAGTGAAGCTTGTGCAGGATCAGTCGGAGGTCAGCAGCAGTGGGGACTGGGGAAGTGGCCAGCTCTCCAGCGCAAGCACAGGAGCTGCCTCAGAGATGGAGAACAGAGGATGGTTTGTAGCGAATGAGTGGATTTTCACCAAACCATGAGGGAAAACAGAAAAGCCAACTAGGTGCATAGCAAATATCAGCATGCCACTCTTAACTTTGTGGCAAACGAGCAATTTTTTCTAATAATTCTCTCACTGGATTTCCATTCTAGTGTAAGGATAAACCATCAGTTCAAGGAGTAAAAACGAAAAAACAAAAAAGTTATACAGGGCAATTCCAGCTAGCAAATTATGTGCTACCAAATTGATGAGGAGGGAAATATTGTTCAACAGAAACATTTCAAGAGAAAATAGTATCTCGTACTCAAATTTAATCGGTAAATCAATAGGGGCTTACTGAAGTGTCAGGCCTTGATGCTGTGGCATTTGCTGCAGTTGCTGGAGAACTTTTACCTTTGGACTGGAGCATAAACTCACGGATTCAATAAAATGATTAACAGGTGAAAATAAAAAATAAAAAAAATACTGCACCAACCCAGTGCCAAGCCCATATATCCTTTCAGAGGGAAATTCTATTCCCGCTAATTCTTTTAATAGTGCTTCAGCAAATCGGCCCTGAAAAAGATGACCAACAGTTCACAAGTGGACAACAGTGAACTATGAAAAGAATATATGAATTGCATATAAGATGGACCAGTGCTTTGATCATTTCTTTTACAAAAAACCAATGAAATACAGAAATGCATAAAAGATGATAGTAGGCATCATCGGTAGCACAGCATGCTCTGTTGTTCCCAAACCAAGATATGTATTTTGAAAAAGCGTACAAGTTACAACAATGATGCAGAAACCCAAAATATAGGAAGAAGTTAGTTCCCAACCGTAGGATATGCAAGTGAGGTACCTGTTTTGTAGTGACTATGTAGACTTCTGAACTTGAAAATTTTAATGCATCGGCTGTTCCAGGATAAAATCTGCAGTTATGTATAATTGTAAATAATTAGTTCCATATTGTTCATATGACCAATCACCATGATACAGTCATGAACTCATTATAATGAATGCCTGAAGAGGTTCATCAATGTTTAAAAAGCTTCACTATTGTTTTTTCACTTATACTGTTTCCAGAGGTGCTATAGTGTGATTATTATAAAGATGAGATGGCTCAAGTATGAATACACAAAGAAGCAACAGTACACATGAAAGCACGTGCATGCAGGCATGTGTAAGACACTAAGACCAGAGGTATAAGTGAAATGGAGGCAAAAGCAAGAATTATTTCAAGTGCCATTGTGTACTCTATAATAATCTTCTTTAAAGGTTATATCATATGCAAATATAAAATCATTTATTTTACTCCATTTTGATATTTGCAAAAAAAAGAAAAAAAAACTTCATTTGGATAGCATGGTGCTTTGTCAAATTAAATTTGGACAGTACTCATAACATAACAGCGAAAAAGAAAATGTATCGTGCATATATAATCCATGTCTCATGGTTTTATTACTGAATATACAAGCGAAAGATTAGCATATGTAACTGGTTTGCCAGTGAACCATCATACCTTCTAATTCCAAACATGGACAAGAAGGTATTTTTTTCTTAAATTTATCTGTTTATGTATATATTTATTCGAAAATAAAACGCATTACTTATTGCAAAGGTACAGCTACCTGTTAGCACCTATCCAACCAGACAAGTCATTTTCAATCCAGTCATCCCTTATGCTGCCAAAGAGATCAACTAGAGAGTCCCTATCTTCATTCCATTCACTCATAATTGTGGGCTTCAGTTTTAACCAGTTCTCCAGTATTTCTTGGATGCTAAGCCCATCTGCAACCTTGCAATATAACCTTGGCATAAACATCTGATAAAGCTAGAACCATATGCTTATTCAAGTTAAACTAGTATCATCTGATTCATTTCATCCGAGACAGATATATTATCAATAAGCTCTATGAAGGAAGTATTGAAGAGCTTACCGATGATCTCCGGGCAGAGGGTATCCGAATCTCAATAAGCAACCTGACAAGCAACAGATTCTCGTATCCTGTTTCAACCACTGGGCGAAGCTGAACAGCAAAAATATCGTAACGAGTATTGGATTGTGGATAATAAAATTATTAAGAAGAACCTTAATTGCTGCACCAACATGATAGTATGGAGCTGTGTTATGATGGTAAGCAGCATTTATAATCCATAGTGCTTAATTTGTAAAATATGAATATCCTTTCACTATGCTTTCTTGGTTGATAGAGGAAAATCAACTACATCAGCAAGCTACACTCCTTTATATATTATAAAGTTAGTAGACAAGGATATATATCATAAATTGTCCATGTGAGCAATGCTATGTTCCAAATCTGATGGGCATTATACAATGCCACACTATGTAAAAGTTTAATTTCATTTGGTTCTCCTGTTATTTTTGTCAGGTCTGCTACAGTCACCAAATACTTTATTTTAGTCCATCTTATTGTTTTGAGATGCTATTTGTCTGTTAGTGCGAGAAATCATTAGCTGCCAGTTAGGGGCGAAGCCAGACGCGTGCGGCGGGGGGGGGGGGGGGGCCCTCCCCCATCAGCAGCCGAACCCCCTACCACCACAAAATCTTGCAGTAGTACATGCTGTTAGCCTGTTACGATGATGTAAGTACGTAATGATTAATCATCAGTTTCCTACCGTCTCATGGCTGCTGTGTGTATCAGTTTTCTCGTAAATGCATGTGCAGCATGATGGCTGGCAATTCGGTTTTTGCTGTAGCTATAGTTTCGTGTTTTCGTTGCGCTCGGGCCACTATGATTAGGAAAATGATCATACTTATTGTCATATCATTTTAATTTCAAATGTCTGAAATATTAGTACTTGCAATTTATTGCTAATTTTACTAAGTGCCTTTTCTAATTATTTGTCTATTTATATAGACTTTTAGCTCAGATGATTTCATCATCGCTTATGAATTGTCTGCTCATTGCTTATATGGCTGAATTGCAATGAAAAAGTAGCTATATGATATACCTATTAAGTATTATCATTTTTTTACGTTGACATGCTATACTACTCAAAATGTTAGTAGTGGTGGTGTCCGTTCTACCACACCACCTCTACCACTGGCATTCGGAGCCCATAATCTATACTATTGCATTACCACCACCAACCTAATAAATGAGCCTCATTAGTCAGCCCTCACCCTCCAACGAATCTTCTCCCATTCCACCACTTGCTCTCCTCACATTTCAAAAGCACCTACTTATTCAATAAGGAAAATCATAAAAATATTACTTGGACTAAATATGTGCTTAATCGACTTAATAAGCTATAAACCTTTTTTTCGTTGCAATGCAAGGGCTCTTGGCTAGTCTATGAAAAATCTTTAAATTTACATATTTTTTTTATTGTATTCACTTGTTAATAAGTTGGTCCCCCTTATACTCAAATCCTGGCTTCACCACTGCTGCAGTGCTGCCAGTATTCAGCAAGTGCTTTTTTTATATGACATTGAAATTATTGGTATCCACAAACAATCCCGAAAGCAAAATTAGAGTGCACATATATATCCTAATTAATACTAGATAGAAGCCTACAGCCATAAGAACAACAAGCCACACGGCCGGCATACCCATCCGCATTAAAATTGCAAGCGTGGCTGTGCGGGGAACCAAAAGGGACTCACGGTATACATTTGCTCCACGATCCACTCCTCCATGGCAGCGTCGACCTGCTCAAACACCCATGGCCACCTCACCTTCGCAGCCTGCCTAACCAACGCAGCCATCATCAATGCACGAACGGATGGACCCATCCAAGAAACGGGGCGAAAGGAAGAAGAAGCGCGTGGAGTGACCTTGACGGCGGAGAGGGAGCTCTCGCCGCAGCTGTCGCAGAGGACGCCGTCGAAGTCGAGCGCGTACAGGTCGCCCCCCATCGCGCGGCGGCCTCCTTCCTCCCTCCCTCTCTCTCTCCGCCGCACTGGACGGCCAACGAGGAGGTTTTGGGGGTGGTCTGGCCTTCTGATTTTTCTTTTTCTTTTCCTCCTTTTTCTTCGTTTTTTATATCCTCCTTGGGTTGGTGAGGCCGTGGATGAAGAGAGAGAGGATGAGGGAAAATGACAAGCGGAGAGCTGCGTTCCACAGGGGAGGGGAGGAGAGTCGATATGCGCTACGAAATCGGAGTAATTAAAAGTAAGGGCGATCTGCTCCTCCCACAACGATTCACCCCTTTTTTTTACTGGCGTGTTCGTTTGCGCTGGTATCCACGTCTTCCGGAATTTTTTACGTGTCTCTGCGCTGTGGGCCTCCAGTGTTCTTGCGATGCGCGCCATAGGTCTCCACTCTGTGGGCCTACACCGCTGTGCACGGGAGCCGTCGACAGGGTGGCTCAGTGCCGGGTTTTTGCTCCCTGATCAGTGGGCCTGGTGCTGTGTGGGGCCACATGGCTCGCTGGTTGGGTGGACTATGCCCGCTGAAGATTGCTCATTATAGTTCACGCGTTTAATGGGGTCTTTCGTATCTGCCCTGCGCCGAGACCAGGGACCATGGATATATATCCAGTTTGCTCCCGTGCAGGGAGTATGGGCCCATGTTTGTACTGGTTGGCGAATGGGAGATAGACAACGCTATACAGGCCTGCTCCATGCGGCGTGCGGCGCGAGGAAACCGTCATAAATCGCGCCGGTACTGTTTTCCCCTTTTCTTTTTCGTCCCCTTCCTTCTTCTCCACCCTAATCCCCTTTTCTCTGTTCGCCTTTCTTGCGTCCTCAATGGCGATTCCGAGGTGAGCGCTCTGGCGCCGTGCGCCCTCCATCGCGGACGCGTGTTCTTACTCCGTGCGTTCTTCTTGCAGATGCCCTGTCGGTGATCTCGCTCTCGGCTACGCGTAGGACCCCGCCGGTCGTTCCTCACGCAAGGTCAGCCGTGGATTCGCGTTCGATTCGTTCTTGCCCGTGGCCATCAATCGTGGCCTTCACTCAAGTTTCGGTTCTGTTTGCATGTAGGGAACTTTCTTCCACTTGCGCCGGCGCTGTTTTTTTGCTGTTGTTCAGTGCTGCTCCTTCTTGCGAGCCGTACTGCATCAGGGTTCCCGCCTTGTCAGCGGTCGCTGCTGTCGGTTGCTCACACTGAAGGTGGTGTTTCTCTCTCGCCTATGTTTTCCTTGCTCTGTTTGTTGTGTGTTTGTTTGTTATGCGTGCCTTTATTATAACATCCTCCTATTTGGTTGGGGGAGGGGGTGAGTGAGCCGTTGGCAGTGACGACCTATGGTCAATGTTGGGTTTTTTTCCCACCCTGGTTGGGGAAAAGGACAGGGGTAGGGGAAAAATGGTTGCGTTTTCTGGCCCCATAGAGTTGCCTTATATGCTGTCTGTTGGGAGCTTCTTCTTACACCTTACCCTCATTTCACTCTCTTTCTGCTCACACCTCTCAGAGTACTTTAGGGTCCTTTGCCTGCTGTTTGAAGACTCTCTCTGTAATACGCAGTGTTGTTGGCAGGATGGCCGCTGTGGGGGTTTCGTTCGTTTCGTTGTTGAACGCTGCTGCTTCTCATTGCCAGTTGCCCATGGTGTCCTACCTGTGGGAGCTGGACGGTGATGGTATGCTTCTAGCCGGTGTAGAGCTTGTCCTTCCGGCTGAAGACCTTGGCAAAAGTTCAGCTAGGAAGTTTTTTTGGGTAGCTGCCACAGATCCATTGATTGTTTCCCATGAAATGGTTGCTCAGCAGGCCGTTAGGTTCCTGCAAGCGAAGTACGGTTTTACCATCCATGATTACAACTTTGAGATGTTACTTTCCTATAGAAAGGTTGCTTCTTCTGCGGTGGACGCTGCTCTGGCAGCAGCTGCATGTCTTGCTAGGTTCCAGGCACGTTATGGTGCACTGGATCTGCCCTGTGACAGTGTGGTCACACAGTGCAGGTCTCTTTGGTTTACTTTTCTTAGGGAAGAACACTTCTTTTATAGCACATATCGGTCTTAGGCAGAGAGTGGGTTTATCTGTGGTTTGTAATAATGGATCGATTTGTACTTTTAAGTTCCATGCTTTTAATTGGTTGTTTACGGTTCATAAATTTCTCCTTTTGTTTTACTCTTTTTTCCAATCTCAGTTTGTTTATTTCTACTTGCATTGGAATTGTCCTCTGTGTTGTATGGTTTACCACATCTGTTTATCGCACGGCCATGCAGATTGTTGTGTTCTGTTGTTTAGAATTTGTGAGCGATGTCAGGTCGTGCTGCATTGCGCGTTCAACGTGCCCGTGAAAGCCGATTAAGACGACATGCTTCAATAGGACAGGGTTTGTTCTCTGTATATTACTACTGTGGGTTCCCTTTCCAGTTATGATCTGATAATGAAGTAGTTTGGTTTGTTATATAGGCTATCTGCAGGCTCCCATTTTTGATGCCATAGGTTCTAGAGGCTTGCAATCATGCCATGCTTCTACAAGTTCTGCCCAGATTGCATTCCCAGATACTCAGCAGCAATATCCTGCTGCTGTTGCAGAGCCAGTCATCGAAACATCCGGTGGATGTGACCCCACAGTAGCAATTGCTAAAAGTAAGCCAGCTGCCAAGCAGTTCCTATGACAAATCTGATGATATAATTCAGATTAGCTATGAAATACTTATTTGAAAAATTAGCCGACATGGTACTCCGATAGTGTTCTAAGTATTTGTGAGCACGCGTAGGGAAAAGATTGTTGCTAGATATACCACGGAGTGCTGCTGCAGTTAATAGGGAAAGACGTCGTATGAAAAGATCCGGTGATCAGCCAAGCTGTTCTATCAGCAATGTTCTTAACGGTATGCTTTCTCTTGGTTTGGTTGGATTGGCTATGCCTTATTATATATAGATTAGAGGGAAAAATAATCTAATTTATTATTTTGCGACCATTTTTCGTACGCATAGGTCCCAGGCCTACTGCTGATGACATCTTGCCTTTACCTAAGGACTATGTTGCATCCTTGAAAGGTTTGTTGTGTCCTTTGACATTGAGGGTTACCAATCTTTCGTTATGATCCTCTTCTCATAGTTATCCTGTGCAGCTTTGTATCCTGAACGGTCTTATTACGGTGGGCCATCTCATGAATGCCCCTATTGCGGTGCGGTCTTTTGGTACCAAGAAAGGGTTAAAAAGGGGACAGTTCTTTCGCAGCGAAAAATTGTGTACAATCTGTGTTGTAGAGGTGGCAAGATTAGTCTGCCCGAATTAAAGCATCCACCTTCTTTGCTGGCTGAGCTCTTAAAGTTTGATGGTGGTGTGCGATCAAAACGATTCCTACGACAAATCCGATCATATAACTCCCTCTTTGCTTTCACTTCTCTAGGGGCTAATATTGATAAGACGATAAATAATGGAACTGCGCCTTGTGTGTTCAAGATTAATGGTGTGGTGCACCATCGTATTGGCGGTTTACTGCCACAGCAGGGTGCCCCACCTAAATTTGCACAGCTCTATATATATGACACCGAAAATGAAACAGCAAATAGAATGAATATCTTCGAGCGAGACAACCTTTCTGATGAACCAGACCCAGAAATTGTTAGAGACCTTGGTTCTATGCTCGATGAGCACAACGATTTAGTTAAAGCATTCCGCTTTGCTAGGGATCGACTAAAAGATCACGGTGATCAAAAAGTTGCGCTTAGATTGCTTGGCTGTGATTCAAGGGATGAGATTCAGTATAATTTGCCAACAAGTGGTGAGATTGCTGGCATAGTAGTTGGAGACTATTCAGCTGGTCAATATACGTACGATGTTATGGTTCAATCCTCCAATGCTAGGCTCCGACGTGTCTCAGCTTTGCACCCATCATATATGGCTCTTCAGTACCCCTGCTTTTCCCGTATGGTGAACGAGGGTTCCATTTAGGTATCAAATATACTGACTTCCCTAGCATCACTGGTACGTCCAGGCGATATGTCACAATGCTTGAATACTACCGATATCGTCTTCATTACCGACTGAACAAGCCAAATCCATATACTTGCTGTGGTCGTCTTAGTGATTCTCTATGTGTTGATTCATACTCGACTGTTGAGTCGTCAAGGCTTAAATACATCTCTGATAACCAACCTGACCTTCGTTCCGAGTCTGTACAGGGAATAGTCGATGCAATAGATCATGGCCTAGATTCTGGAGATTCTGTAGGACAGCGATATGTGCTTCCCTCCAGTTTTACTGGAGGGCGACGCTACATGGTCCAAAATTATCAAGATGCAATGGCTATTTGTCGTGTCTTTGGATCTCCTGATCTTTTTGTGACTTTTACATGCAACTCAAAATGGCAGGAGATATATGATGCCCTGCTGTTTGAACCAGGCCAGCTCCCAAGCGATCGTTCCGATATGATTGTGAGAGTATTTAACATGAAAGTAAATGAGTTTATTGCAGACATTAGAGAGGGAAAAACTTTTGGTCCAGTCCTTGCTGGTAGGATATTTACCTGGTTCATTAGTATTTGTTTGTGCTGTATAGCTTCTAACATTGGCCCTCTTTACATGTAGTCCTGTATACAGTTGAGTTCCAGAAGCGTGGCCTCCCTCATATTCATTGCTTAGTTTGGCTTGCTGCTGAGAATGCTGAGTTTAGTGCTCCCATTGTCGATGGTTTTATTTCTGCTGAAATACCTGATGTGTTGACTGATCCTTTAGGTTATGCTTTAGTTGATGAATTTATGATTCATGGCCCTTGTGGCAATCAGAACAGGGCATGCCCATGTATGAAAAAGGGAGAATGTTCTAAGCATTTCCCTAAATCTTTTCAAGAAGAGACTACGATGGATGAATTTGGATTTACTATTTACAAACGCAGAAACGATGGTCGATATGTTGTGAAAAATGGTATTAAACTTGACAACATATGGGTAGTGCCCTATAACCTAGAACTTCTGAAAAAATACCAAGCTCACATTAACGTAGAATGGTGCAACAAATCTAATATGATCAAATACATGTTTAAATATGTCACAAAAGGTGCTGATAGAACAAAAGCATATTTTGAGATTTCTGGAAATGCATCGAATAAAACATCTGAAAGCTCTACTTCTCCACGAAATGAAATACAAGAATACATCGACGCAAGGTTTCTATCTACATGTGAGTCTCATTGGCGGGCTTTTGAATTTGACATACACTATAGAATGCCTTCTGTAGAACGCCTAGCTGTGCACCTTCCAAATATGAACTTTGTTCGATACAAGAAAGGATCTGACCTGCAATCTTTGCTATCTAGCCCTGCAGCGAAAAAAACAATGTTAACGGAGTGGTTCGAAACGAACAGAAAACATACCAGTGCACATACGCTTACTTACTGTGATTTCCCGAGAGAATGGACATGGGACAGTAGCTCACGTAGTTGGCGTCCTAGAACACCATGTGAAAAAATAGGCAGGATGTACTATGTGAGTCCAGTGAGCGGCGAGCTTTATTATTTACGAATGCTATTAATGATCGTAAAAGGCGCCATGTCTTATGCTGATGTTAGAACTTATGATGGGATTGTTTATCCAACCTTTAGGCAAGCATGTGAAGCAAGAGGGCTCCTTGAAAGTGATAATGAATGGCACTTATTGTTTGATGAGGCTATAGTATCTGCGTCGTCAGGCCAGCTGAGACAACTCTTTGTTACTGTTGTGATGTTCTGTTCTGTTGGAAATGTCCGGTCGCTATTTGAAAAATATTGGACCTATTTTACCGATGATATTCAACGACGTGTTAGGACAGCTTTATCGAATCCTTCTTACATAATACCTTCTGATAGACTGTTGTCCTTACTAATGAAAGAACTACATACTGTGTTTTCAAACAGTGGTGGTAGTATAGATGATTATGACTTACCACGAGCAGCAATTTATTCAGATGACATTGTAGGAAACAGAATGGTCGATGAAGAGCTTGCTCTTGATGCCGCCACCCTAGCCACAGAAGCTAACCTGAATATACCTAGGCTGAATACTGATCAAAGAAAAATTTTTGACACAATCATACAACGAGTAGATGAGAATAAACCTGGTTTTTTCTTTGTTTATGGCCATGGTGGTACAGGGAAAACATTCCTATGGAACGCATTGATTTCCAAAATAAGATCTGAAAAAAAAATTGTTTTGGCTGTTGCCTCCTCAGGAGTTGCCTCTCTTCTTTTGCCTAGAGGGCGCACTGCTCATTCTAGATTCAAAATTCCGATCGAGATAGATGAGAACAGCATTTGTACCATTAAAAGAGGAACCATGCTTGCCGAGCTTATCCAAAAAACTTCTCTCATAATATGGGATGAAGCCCCCATGACTCATAGAAGATGCTTTGATGCTTTAGATCGAACCTTACGTGATTTGCTTTCCGAACAGACACCTTCTAATAGTATAGTTCCATTTGGTAGTAAAGTCATTGTTCTTGGAGGTGATTTTCGACAGATATTACCAGTTATAAGAAAAGGTTCGCGTGCCTCCATAGTTGATGCATCCATTACGAATTCTCCTCTCTGGCGACATGTTACTCTTCTTAGGCTGACAATCAATATGAGACTTCTTCACGGTGACCTTGGTGAGTAAGGCTGCAGAGATCTTAAGGACTTTGGTGATTGGGTTCTAGCGCTTGGTGATGGTAGGTTGACTGCGACAAAAAAAATTGATGAATCAGAACCAACATGGGTGGATATTCCTGATGATCTTTTGATCAAAACATCCGGTGACAAAATAAAGGCCATAATAGATGAGGTATTTCCGCGCTTCGCAGATAACTATACAAATCATTGCTACCTTGCATGTCGAGCCATTGTTTGCCCAAATAACTCAACGGTTGATCAGATAAATGACTGTATTGTTGACATGATAGCTAGCGAGCCAAAAGAATATCTTAGCTGCGATACAATTTCAAAATCAAGTGAACACTTACCTGACTTTGATATCCTTTACCCTCCTGAATTTTTGAATTCCATTAATGTCAACAACTTCCCATCTCACAAACTTGTGCTCAAAAAAGGTGTGACAATTATGCTTCTGCGCAACTTAAATCAGTCCATGGGTTTATGCAATGGGACAAGATTATTGGTTACTTCCCTTGGTCATAGGTTGCTAGAGTGTGTGATTCTAACTGGATCTAATATCGGTGAGACAACATTCATACCACGAATCGCGCTTACCACCACGAGCCCTAAGTGGCCTTTTACACTTCAGAGAAGGCAATTCCCTGTCCGTATATGCTATGCAATGACAATTAACAAGAGCCAAGGACAAACCCTTTCACGAGTCGGTGTATACTTGAAAAAACCTGTTTTCACGCATGGCCAACTATATGTTGCTGTCTCTAGATCAACATCAAGGGAAGGTCTTAGAATACTCATAGAGGATGAGGATGAAGTATGTTGTTCAAAAACCATAAATGTGGTTTACCATGAAGTGCTAGAGGCTGTCAGCTCTATGGTACATTATGCGATTGGGTTTTGTGCATGATTTGCGATTAAATTGCCAGGATGGCACTGTGAAGGCTAATGTACTATATCTTCACACCTGCAGGATGTTGATACATAGCTCGCAGCCATGCTGCCAGTTTTTGATGCTGTTGTGTGACTCTTATTTTTTTTCCTCTTCGTTGTGCATGTGTTTGGCTTTTGTACGTTCATTAGGCTCTATTTTCTTCTGATCTCAGCTCCTTAAGTGTTTTAGCAATACAGTTCCTTTTGGAATCTAATGTATTTTTTTATGTTCTTGCAGATGGGCGGCCTGCAGATTGCTAGCCTTGAGCCTGGTGATGGGAATCCAACTCTCCGCATACGCATTTCACGGTTATGGGAATACCGTGACCAAAATGATGAAAGTATCTTGCACTATATTGGCTTGGTTTTGGTTGATCAAAAGGTCATTTCTTTGAAACCTTTACATAATAAACAGACTACAAAATATGTGTTCTCATTAGCTAACATAATTGTTTGAACAGGGATCCAGCATTGCTGCTATGATTTATCCTCCATGCGACAACAAATTTAAGCCCCTCATCACTGAAGGCAAGGTATACTTGCTTACGTACTATCGTGTGAAACCTTGCACGAAGCACTACCGGCCAGTTGACAACAAACTGGCGATCACTTTCACTTGGTGGAGTACAGTGGAAGAATGTGTTGATGTGCCAGATAACTTTGCTCAGTATGCTTACTCCCTTAAGCCTTTTAATGAGCTACGCTCCCATGTGGACAGGAAAGACTCCTTCACAGGTGCCACAGTTCTAGACCTATGATTTGTTACATATTACATTGCTAATTTTTTTGCTGCTAACATGGATTCCTCTTCTTTATAAAAATATCATAGATGTTATTGGAATCATCACTGAAATATCATCTGTTACAACCGTTCAGACACGCATTAAAGACGGTGATAGCTTGAAAAGGAACGTCTACATCCGCAATGCTGAGTTAGATCTCTTCCCTAAATTTGTATTGTGTATATTATTCCTAGCTAATTTTCTGAGGCTCTCTAACAACTCTGACATCTTATATCATCCATGTCAGCCAACAACCACCATATATTTACCTTAATACTAACATATCGTTTTACTATGCCAGCTCCCTTAATTCCAGTACAACAGCTTTTTTTTGTGTTATAGACTAACCACTCACTACACCACACTCCCTCTGTGATTTTTTTTATATACACACAACATAGCAATGAGACAACCAATATTGCATTGTGGGGAGAAAGGGCTACAAGCTTTCCTGCAGATGAGATTGTCAGTGCAGGCAAGCATCAACCGCAGATAGTTATCTTTGTTGGCACATTGGTGAGAGGCCATGGAAGTAAGCGATCTACTGGACACTTTGGCTGCATTTTTCTACTACGCCTTTATCTACTATTGTCATAATGCATGATACCATTGTTTCAGGAAACGTTTCTCTGTCAGGTAACTCGGCATGCAAATGGTACATAAATATTGACACACCAGAGGTCAAATCCTTGGCTGCTAGGTATATTATTCATATCTTGCCATCGCCCACTGTTGTTTTACCCTGATTTATTTCTATCTAGATCTCACCTAGATAATATTATATAGTGTTGAAGGGAGCTATGAGCCAATAAAATGGCTTGATCTGCCGTCTGGACCTGCTGCCCACAACAATGGTGAAGAAAAGACAATTGCTGAGATCAGAGAACTTCACCCTTTTAAGTTCAAGGTAAAACCCTTATATCCAGTTCGTCCTATTGTATTTCACACTATGTAACAGGTTGTATTGACTGTCACCATCTTATGGAAACAGAAACATGAGTTCTTGGTTACTGTGGTCATCAAAAAACTTAACATGGAGTATTCCTGGTGGTATACTGCTTGTGATATCTGCAAGAAGACAGCAAAACCATATGGAAGTTCTTATAGATGTGGAAACAACACATGCCCACCAGTTGTTTCAGCTTCACCTTGGTCAGTCATACTAGAACTAATCAAACCACACAGCATAGGTATTGATGTATGAGAACTAATGCCACCGTGCATTTTTCAGGTTCAAACTGAGTGTGATAGCAGGAGATCATACAGCCGACACTACATTTATTGTTTTTGGCCGTTTGGCTCAAAGGCTCATTGGTCGTTCAGTTGATGCACTGGTGATGGAGAATCCAACCGGCAAGGACTACATACCGAGAGAGATCACTGATCTTCTTGAGAAAGAATTTGTCTGGAATGTCAGCTTTACAGAGAACACAGTTTCTAGCGGCATTGTAGCTTTCCAAGTGAACAAGATTATTAAAGGAGGCCAGAATTATTCCTTGGCTCTTCTACAATCTCCATCTGGATCCCAAGCATCTTCTGTGGTACCTTCCATGGCCCTATCTCCAGTTACATCTCAGGATGTTTCTGTTGGTCAGCACACAGAGACAGAAACTCCATCAGTAGGGTTTGTTGATGCTCAGCTACCTCTGGTTAGCCCATCCACCGCTACACAAAAAGATAAGAATATAGACGATGAGTTTGCATCAAAGACCCCTGGAGAGGATGTGGCTGCTGATGATGAAGACTATGACCAGGTTCAGTGCATCCCATAGCTAGCTCTCTAGCACATACAAATTGTTCACTGCCCACACTAACTCTATATATTGGGAAATAGGATGATGAGCATCTCAACCTTACACAGAAGGCTCCTGGTTCTGCAGCTAAAAGCACCACTTCCAAGGCATACAAAAAGAGGTGAGCCACTTGATTTCTTTCTCTTCCAAAGTATAAGCTATTTGTCTGTATAGTAACTTATCTAATAACTCGCACCAAAAAAAGGCCCAGACCATCTCCTGGAACCGGTGCAGCTAAGAAGTTGTTCAAGGGCAATGATGCTGACAGTACTGATGATGCTGCTGGAAGCAGGTACTGTTACTATTCTTATCTTTCGTTGTATACTCGAAACCTTTTGCACAATTCTCATATGTTCTGTCCTAAATTTCCAGTGCCATCAAGAAGACCTAGAGCATCAGCAAAGATCGTTGCTCTTTTTTTTTGGGATATATTCAGCCATGTGTGGCCACCAAGATTAGCATTGCTGTCATAGAGACCAGCATTTCTCTGAGAAACTTCTTCGGGCTGAACAGAGCACATCCCTGGCTAATGTTTTCAAGATGCCTCTACAGTCTTTTGTTCCCATGTTGGATGAATGCACATCAAACCAACTAGGCTAGAATTATTCATTTTGCAAGCAAACTTCTTATTATTCGTCCTGTATTTATGTAGCTGGCATTCTACATTATCATGATTCGTCCTGATAATAAATACCAGCAGATCAGACCAACTATTATACCTTTCCCAACGCGTAATTGCTTGCCATGGCTGATATTCTGTGCCCATATATCGTTTCCACGCAATTACGTCCACATATTTTTCAAGCCAATCTTTGCAGCTCAAACGTTTCAAACAAACATCGGTAGCTTTTAGACCAAGTGTACATATATACGATACACAACACAGTACGTTCTCCAAACCACCATCCGTGCCAACCCAGCTGCACATTGAAGAGAACATAAACGCCCTATCTGCTCACTTGCCCACTTCTCTTGAAAAGACAACACAGCTAGCACCCTAGCAACCTGTCTATCCTCACTCTTTAACCTTCTTCTACCTCTATCCGTTCTCTCAGCCAGACCTCTCTCTCTCTCTCTCTCATATCAAGAACACATCCTCTTTTTCAGCTTCACCTCCTCCTTTGGTTCTTGCTTGCGATCTACTGCATTGAGCAGAAGAGCAGCGGCTCATTGCTATTGCTGCTCTGATATTCATCCATACCAGGTACCACAGTTGCCGCATCTCATTCTCCAAACTGATTTCTACACGTATATTATGCTTTCCTCGCTTATCTTATCTTATCAAGTAAACATAGGCACAACAAATCGATTAGTAAATAGAACGGCAGTGAAATTAGATCTGTTTATAGGTAGAACGGTTTCCCTACATGCACAAGCCAGGCACATTCATAGCCATATTTTTGTTTTATTTTTGCAGTAACATGGAACACAACCAAGACAGGGAGGTTACTAGGCCAATAACACAACCATCGACCTATGCGAAGAAACGGCCACTAGCAGCAGCAAAATTTTCCAATAAAAAGGAAACGTCCCAATTACTAGCCGACATTATATACCAGAATGCAGTAGTTGTCAAGGTCCATGGAGCTGGTAATCCAACCACAACCCAGATATCAGCGATGCTAGGTTTCGTCTGTGACTGCCAGGTTGATGATTTTGCCTTGCTTCCATTCCGTCACCGAATGTATATTGCCATTTTTATGGATCATGACCAGCAAGAAGAACAGTATGAGAAAGCACTGAACCAAAAAACATACACATTCAGAACAACAAAGCTTGAATTTCAGCCTTTCAAAATGAACTTCGACAGTACCATCAGTCCACTACGTCAAAGGGTGATACTAGCATTAGAAGGAGTGCCACCTGAACAATGGAACAAAGAGGCTATAACAGAGTTGCTAGACAACTGCTGCAAAATCGAAGAACTGTATGAAGAGCACCATATCCAGGATCTTTCGGTGTTTAGATTGGCGGCATGGACATCAAACTGTGATCTTATCCCCAAAATCATAGAGTGGAACATTGGCACAAATCAGCCAGGGCAACAATCTACTGATCTGAATTGGAAACCAAATGGGGATCTATCTATCGTACTAATTCACATCGAAAAGCTGTTTGACTACAGTGATCCAACCAATGGAAACGAAGACAATCCAGAGGCTCTCATAGAGTATGAAAACAAAGTGCATCATCTCCCAATTATCAAAAGATTCCAGTGGCTGCCCGGCAGGATCGACTCTGATTATGGCCCAATCGAAGGAGGCACACCGTTAGTGCCACGGCAACAGCTTCCAGACAACCTTCACGAAGAGCAGCCGTTTGATCATCCTCAGTAGCAGGCTATATAGTTTTGTAGCGCCTGCAAAAGAACCAAAAAAAATATATGTTATGTATCCTCTGTTTTGCTCAATGCTAGAGCTTCTTGGACATGCAATGCAGCATGACTACCCCTGTTATACTAGCCTTTCAGCTTTATATCCATTTGCTATTACTAAGATCCTCCAATCCTATTTGCTTTGCTTGAATACCTTCACCATAAAATTCTAAAATACTGCGTTAGCTCCATAGCCCTAAATGAACGGTGGGGAGGCGCCGCGAAGCGCGCCCAAAGTCCTAGTTTCACCAAAACCTAGCCCGCCCATTCACGCGCGGGCATATAAAGTAGGTTATGTTTGAATAGAATATCAATATAACACATGCTATATTTGAAAAAAAAAAGTACTTCTTTCATTTCACAATGTAAGTCATTTTAATATTTCTCACATTCATATTGATGTAAGTCATATTTAACATCAATATGAATGTGGGAAATGTTAGAATGACTTATATTGTGAAACGAAGGGAGTATTATTTCTTTACAAATTTTCTTCATCGACATTGCTTAGAAAATTTTTTACGAGATATTTTTAAGGTTTGAACTATATAGTATTTAACTCATTACTATAAGCAATTATCAATAATTTTCTTTATTTTCTTGAAAGAGTGAGTCAATAAATACATAGGAGATATATATTGTACACATCATTTCCCTATTATATATGTGATTTATGGTGTTCTTTTTAGAAAAAAAAAACTAGTCGACTTGAGTCATAAATTTAAAGTGTCTAAATTCATTGGCATCTATATGATTGTGGGTAATGCTAGAAAGTCTTATAATATGAAATGGAGGGAGTAGCATATATAACTTTTTAACCAACGAAGTACTTCTATGTCCCGCTACCTTTGTATGTTTTACATATGCAACAATATATGGAGAAACTCCTAATATCATGGTATAGGATAGATGGAAGGCCATTAATATCTAAGCACTTAAACATGGTTATGGCAATGGAACATACAATGGTTGTTCCAATTTGTGAAAAGCAATAACTAAGTTTTGCAAATTTATAGATTCTCTCTAATTGATTTAATTCAATCCATATTGACATTTTTTCAATTTTGTTTTATACAAGTCTTATTTTAGGTTAAAAATATAGTCATTATGGATCATGAATTGTTAGTTTAACTATTTAATAGAGAAACAGTTAGATTAAAAATTAGACGTATATCTTAAAAATATGGTCTTTTCAGTACGGGCGGTGTTTTGTGCATGTGCTGGGGAGGATGAGAATTTAGGGACTTTATTTTTCTATAATTTTCTAAATAATTTAAGTAACACCATGATCATATGTTTTTTCTTATAATTTGTAATTTTTTTTGTAATTTTGAGACATTAAAATCATATATGAATGTCCCCTCTAATGGGTGAAGCCGACCATATCCGTCGAGGCTTTATTTCTCAACTGCCTTTAAACATTGGTCCCGAGTCGACATAGTTGTGCCCGGCAAGGTGAGCATGAAGTATATTTTTAATGCCTAGTTCACTATTAGTACCCTTATAGATAATTGCATAAGTAAGTATAAAGTTAAGCACTATTGTCAAATGGTGGCCTCTGCTGGGGTAGCTTCAACTCAACCATATGTCTGAACTTTGCTATACTTGTGGTAGCATAGCATGCTTGGTGTCCTTTAAAGGAAAAAAAAAGAAGGAATGCAGGTGATGAAAATATTTTTCGATGAATTTTTTAAAGTTTTGTGTAGACAAAATTGTTTATAGTATTAATCAGTAATGCTTATTTTTTTAATTGTGTAGATACAATATTCTCTTTTCAAATGAGCGAGGTTGATAAAAAATATAGCTAAACAAACGTACCATATCATTCTTACAGTGTGAAGATGAAGATGAAGATTAAGTGTTTTATGTAAAACGAGGTGGTAATAACATGTGATTAATTAAGTTTTAATTATTACAAACTTGAAAAATGGATTAATCTAGTATTTTAGAACAACTTTCATATAGAAAGTTTTCACACGAAACGTACCGTTTAGCAGTTTGAAAAGCGTGCCACGAATATCCAAAACTTAATCCACTGCTTACAGTGGAAACGAACGGGGCAAACATCATCAATTATGTTTGATATATTAGAATATCTAAACTATAAAAAATATATGATGAATAGTTTAATGCGCGGGATTGTTCATTTGTTACCAAATCAATTTCGCAAAGAAAAACCGTATATAACCATAATTCTCGTGATGGATTAAGAGGTCATATTCCGCTCAAATAGTTCTTAAAAAGTTTTAGAAAAGAGAATCTTAATCTCTCATAAATTAAAATTAAATCAAAACTAATTGTAAACCATAATGTTGTTTCACTTTTTCTGCATGTAGATTTGAATTAGTGTTATATATATTAATTATTGATATTTAACACCAAGTTGATCATTTTTATCATGTGAAATTATTTTAAAAATGATCATAATATTAATTATTATATGCCAGTTAAATTATTTGAAAAATAATTATGACATTACATATTATATGTCGGCACCATGTGTTGTAATGAATTTTACAGTACCATATAACTATTATAAGTTATCAGTATTTTATTTAATTAAAGAAATACAACGGATTATAAGTTAGATATATATTTAAAAATAATTTAAAAGATAAACATTTAAAGACTGTTGATTTGGTATTTGTGAAGTAATTAATTTTATTTTATAATTTAGGAAATCTTATTTTAAAGACCGGTTCTTGCTTTATAGCTCTTTTTATCTTCCTACGCATGTATGGCCCTGTTTGGATGCTTCAGGCTATTAAATAGCCCTCCGGAATCTTGCTATTTAGGAGTATTAAACGTAGATTACTGACAAAACCCATTCTATAACCCCTAGGCTATTTTGTGAGATGAATCTAACGAGGTATATTAATCCATAATTTGCTACAGTGATGCTACAGTAATCATCCGCTAATCATAGATTAATATACCTCGTTAGATTCGTCTCGCAAAATAGCCTAGGGATTGTGGAATTGATTTTGTCAATAATCTACATTTAATACTCCTAAATAGTAAGATTCCGGAGAACTATTTAATAGCCCGAAGGATCCAAACAAGGCCTATGTCTGTTTTTTTAAGGAGAACAGTACGTAAGTTTTATATCCGATCATATGTACGTTAATTTTTCTAGTAAATAATTTTGATGAAGCTAGGATTTTTTTTAAATAGATCTAATCTAATGGTCTAAAATAACAAGTCCACCAATTTAAGTAAAAATCGACGGTTAGATTAGAAAGTGCCACGTGACGGTTTAGGAGCGTTTGTAGGACGGCTTAGGTGCGTTGTAATAGATTTAAGGTTCCGGACTTCCGCCGATTTTGGAAGTGAAAACAGGTCTTTACGTTGGGAGAAAATCGCTGAGGGCTTTGCTTGAGTTTAGGCGCTCCCACCGTTTCAATTTACTCACAACTAGAAAGAAGCACGCGCTACGCCACATGCGATTTACAATTACTAAATTGCATCATTAAGGTAAAATATGGTATAAATCTATCTTGCTTCCCCCAAAAGACAGATATCACCGTAACATCTGAACTTAACATGTTCACCAATCCTCGATAATGCAAAGGGTAAAGAATAGAAGATATCTTTGCATTGATCCAATTCAAGATTATTCAAAATTGACTTCAGAGTCAGGATAACACATTAGTTACACTGACCAGATATAATCTGATATTTGAGATTTATTTGATTGAGGATTTTTTTCATAAAAAAAGAATTACTACACCATATTCATAAAGGATGTCGTTTAGGACAATATTTAAGTCAAACATTGGGAATATAAATCATGAATAACTCTTAAGTTGTTGAGTTTAAAAATGTAAAAATTATATGTATAGATTTGTTTTGAAAAATATTTTCATAAAAGTATACATATATAACTTTTCAATAAATATTTTTATAGAAATAAGAAGTCAAAGTTGTGTTTTGGAGAACGTGTCGCTGTCCTAAACGACTTCCTTTACGAGTATGGAGGGGTAGTAGCTATGGCCAGTAAAGATCCAACCACCAGCTTGCATGTGCTTGAGATGTACTGCACGCTTGCTGATCCCTATCACCATCTACAATGAGAATAATAAGAGCAATCCATGAGAATTGGTCTAGACAGTTTTTACAATAGAAGGTAAATATGCCCACAAAATATATAGAGAAGTTGGTTAGGGAAGCATGACTAACTCAAAAAACTAAAATATGTATGGCTGTAAAGTAGGGAGAAATGGTGTTTCCATACGTTGGCACAAAACAAAATAACTTAACTAAAATACCTTTCATTTGTATCACAAAGAACTAAACTGCATTTTAATAATTGACCTAGTGAAAACTTAATATGTGGTAGAAAAACAACAGATCATGTAGCTACTGAAATATGGCTATCGTTCCATATTGAGAAGGAAATTATTGCTCAGGTTAAGCCTCTATCATCTTACTGTGCTTGGTTCTTCAACTGATAGCTTCATTATTTTTTTTCATGAGCTGAGGACAGTGGGTTGCCCCTCTCAACAAAAGTAGGAGTTTTGTTTTGCAAGAAGATAATTTGTTCCATCTGATTGCATAGGATCTGTCACCTCACTTGTCTCAAGATAAAGAACAACTAAGACATAAATATAAATCATGGATGTTGTATACAAAAGAACAATTTTCATGAACTCCTATCCAAAAAGTAAGAACACTTGCTATAACAACAGGATATTTTGTAAAGAAATAGGAAGAACATGGAGCCGATGGCAACTATATTAGTGGTACATGCGCTCATGTGAAATCAAGGAAAACTAATGTACTCCCACATTCTAGCATTTCCCACATTATATGTCTAGATTCATTAGCATCAATATGAATGTGGAAAATGCTAGAATGACTATATGTATATATGTCTAGATTCATTAGTATCAATATGAATGTGGGAAATGCTAAAATGACTTACATTGTGAAACGGAGGAAGTATATAGACAACCCATCATAGAATGAAGAAGCGCATCTAGAATTTCTCATAGGATCTCTTTAAAAAAAAATCAAAGCTGAACACATGTTGCAGAGCCTTTCATGTGGGTCTGAACTTATCGCACAATCATTTATGAATATTCTTCATTTGTATCTTGTACATATAAATTGGAAGACCTACAAACTATAACTGTCACTTTGTCAAATAGGTTGTTGCTTTCTCATAGGTGGGACAGAGCATATACTTGACATTTGACATCATGATGAATTAAGCCTAAATCATTTTGCTGAAATAGAATAGAACATTACTCTGGAAGTTTGGATACCTCAATATAATTCAAATGCAAGCACCTGCAGTTGCTGAAAGTGAGATGTCTTGTTCATTTTCCAAAATGATGGTCATTCAATAGTTTGTCGATGAGATAAACATTGCATGATTGTAATATGCTGCAAATTAAAAACATGATGAACCAAAACTTAGTTGATTTGAAAATTTGATATGGCAACTAAAGCAAATATGAAAGTACTGGATTAAGGAGCTGATTTCTACAACTTCCATATACAAAGAATGGCATTATCTGCCATGTAAATGGGGTGAAAACCCTCTGCAAGTTGACAGATCAAGTTATAGTTGAACTGCAATACACAGACTTCTTATCAGAAGTTACCTCTGTCCTTAAACTTGATACCTGCAACTTTGCAGTTTTTCACATTCTCTGATTTGGACTTCAGAGATTGCAAATATCAGCTAGATGTAAATTGCATACTAAGAAAAGAAAATCATATAATTGAAATTAGGATGAAGCATGAACCAATCACCTCATAAATTGGAATGTGGTCTGAATATAAATACATAATGTAGTCTCTGAAAACTGCATCAGAGTAGCACAATCTTTTGCCCATCTTTTCCCCTAGTTCCTCTATTGTTCCCTTCTCACTTCAATTCCATTGGATCTAGCAGTAGCACAATGGGATCACCCTCTTCAGTAGGATTAGCTGTAAGGAAAAAAAAAAGAAAGAGGGCAGCCGCTAGCATACCTCTCGTTTGGGTGGCTGGATCTTCCGATGTGGCAACGACGGCTAGAAAAGCGCAGTGGCGGCGGCGGCGTCGACGACGGCGGTAGTGACGGCGGCGGTGACGTCATGGCAGCGGCGGCGACGTCGTGGCAGCGGCGGCGGTGGCGACAACGGCGATGACGGCGTATGCGAGGGGAGGAGAAGGATGAGGGAGCAGGCCGGCGCGCGTGAGGGAGGAGGAGGCGAGGCGGCGCACTTGCGCGGCTGCGGGTGAAGCGAGGCTAGGGTTTGGTGCAGGCTGGTGCAATCTCTGCCGTCCGTTTGCGATCCGATGATATCACGGGTGCGGAAGCGCCGGCACGGTAGGACAGATGTACGACCCAGATCGATCGTAGCACAAGATCGGACGGTGGGGTAGCTGGGACTGGCACATAATTAACTGAAAGTTCAGGGACCTTTGTGCAAAAATACGCTGACGTGGCGCTCTAAATTTCAAGCATTCCCACGGCGTTTAAGTAGGAGGACTTTTACGGTACAATGTAGTCTCTGTCAGTATTTACAAGGATATAATAGGAATTTGCTAAAATAAATTATAAATGACATTTTAATAATCTATTATTAGGTTCAATCTCTATCTTTTGGCGCCGTCGTGCATGATTCAGGTGAGGGAGAGACGAGCCAAGACGGTGCGATTAGTCCTCTTCGGCGGCTGGATTCACCGGCGCCTGCTTCCTGTTCGTGCAGCTAATCGATCGCCACCTCCCACCACCATCTCATGCGATCTGTGCACACGAAAATGCATGCATTAACTTATGTACTCTTATGTTCTTGCAAATATTCTCTGCAATTTTAATATGTAGAATCTGATCTTAAGATGGCAATGGTACAGGGAGCGTCCCCAGTAGAGTTAGGGTTCAGTGACACTGCAAAATGTTAATTGTTCCCTAGAATTGATTAGTACTAAATCACCATGCTTAATTGATTTTGAGTGTTAGCATTGTGGCGTGCTTGTGGTGCCTGGCATGGCGAGTGTTGACTGTGTGGCTGCCGGCACAACTCCGCCGCCTGGGATGAATGACGATGGGAACGGGGAATCGGATCGAGCTGGCTTGTAAGCTGGAATTTACGAAATTGCCACCACGAAATAAAACAAAAAGACCAGAATACCCTTTTTAGAATTATACTACAAATCCAATTAAGTGGGTAGGTAATCAATCTACAGCGTTAGATTAATTATACTGTCAGTATATACTTATCAGTATAGTGTACCGTAAAATTTCTCTTAAGTAGACTAATATTCCTCCTCTTTCAATTGTATTAGTACTGTGGATGTGCTTTGGAACGGGATTAGGAGAAATCCTGATTTTTTGCCGCTCGGATATTTTATTGCGTGGAAACACTGTTTTTCGTTGGCTGAGGTGGTTTCTTAGGCATAGTGGTTTCTTTACAAGGAAATATACTATGGTGAGAAAAAAAGGAGAACGACTTCGCTGGTACATTAACAGGTATATATATATTTTTTTGCGGGGACATTAACAGGTATATTTAACTTTAAGAAAAAAAAGTTATGCACCCAATCTTGGGACAAAAGAAATTGAACTTTAGTTGCTACAGTACGTACGTGCGTCTTCCAATTTTATACCGCGGGAAACACCTGAGTTTGGTCATGCGCAGCACAGTGTCGGCGTGTCCGTGTTACGACCGGACCCCCAGTGGGGCCCATCACCACCCGGCCGGGACCCATCTCCTTCACGACCCGAATCTTGATTGGGATGCGGTTCGAGCCCGGGCTCCATCTCAACTTTTCACGAGCAAAAAAAAAAATAATACTACTAAAAAGGATTTTGCGCCGCCGAGGCCGAGGCCGAGAGCCGCACGCCTCACCACCACACGACTCCTCCTCTCCCCCAACCGCAACTACTGCACGAAAAAAAAAGTTTCGCTCCCCTCTCGCGGCGTATTTCCCTTCTCTCTCTCTCTCTTCCCCGTCGCGTGGCCGGCGGGAGGCGCGGCGAAGCGCGCGGCGCCGGTGTCCAGGTGAGGCGGGCATGCCGGACCTCGTTTCCCCCCCTCTCTCTCTCTACCCTCCCCTTGGGTCTGATTACTCTGCGTCGAGGAGCGGCCGGGTCCAGATCTAGCGCCGGGGTCGGTCGGCGAAGCCTTGGGGGGTTCCTCGTCGTCGCTGGCGGGCGGCGGCGGCGGCGGCTCGTTGTCGTGGGATATGTGGCCTCGGTATTGAACCGGTGCGCTTAACTGTGGCGGTGGCGGAGTCCGCCGACCGCCGGTTACCTTAGGTCTAGCCGTGGCCTGGCCAGCTGGCCTTCGAATAAATGCAGCTGTTGTATGGATGGACGCTTTGTTTAGGTTTTGATTTTGATTTTGTGAAGCATTAAGCAAGTTGGCAACCACGCAATACTTTGGATGGGATTTGGCTCTAATCCCCCTTTTACGATTTCATATGTCGTACATGTTTTTGAATTTAGATCGGTGATCCTTCACATAATTTGTATACCTATTCTTTAGTACAAGATGAATTTAGATTTTAGAGCCACTGAATACATGAACCTGTGAATCTCCTTTTGGTTTTCTCTCCAATCTGCATGCACAATGTTGTGCTTGGACATAGGTGTTTGCAGGTGAGCATATAGGTTTTGGGTCGGTTTGCCGCCTATAATCCTAAAATGCCAATTTGTCCTTTCAACATAGGGGATAAATTACTTGTTAATAGTAAAACTCCAATGAAACATGACTTAATTATCACAGTACTTATACTGGGAAAGTGGAAGGTCTTACTAGTTTTGACAGTGGAATGTTCTAAGGTATATACCATCTTATATACTTTCTTTGCTCACATCTAATATCAATACTTTTGATGTTTGTACTAGGATTTTATGCATGGCAGAAAACATGAAATTTGCTGAAGGGTCGTACGTGGCCAACGAATTGGATATGCTCTCTCTGGCTTCATCAGTATATACTGCTCCATTATTTCAAACAGAATTTGATTCAGTTTATGTGCCTGAATATGGGGACGTGGGTAACAGTCAGGATGGCCTATTTCCTGGTTTATTCATTTCAGATGGCTTTGTTTTCCCTCCAAGCGAGCATGAGAATTTGCCAATAGAATCTGATCTTGATGGATCGAACAACAATAACAATGGTCAAGAAAGCAGCTGTGCTGGGAATATCTATGAGGGTTGTAATGAACCAGCCAAAGAAGTTGATGGCAGAAGTCTGTCTGTTAGTGGTGACCTGCACTCTGCCAACGAAACTACTATCCCGAATTTAGAGCCACCTGAAATACGTGCTGAACAAGAGAAAGATAATGCAACCATCAAGTGTGATCTTCCATGTGAAGGATGGTTGAAAAGGAAATCAAATTGTCTTTCTCACCGTATGAAAGGAGTGACGACAGTCTGCACTATTGTGGCAGCTGGTGCTTTGATGGGCTTTGTTATAATAGGTCAGAGGTGGCAGCAGGACAAATTGCACCTTCATCATTTTCAGTTCAATATCGGCACTGAGGTATGCTATCTGAACTTTACCCATAATAGCTGTATCGACAATGCTTCCAGTATTTATATCTCGTTTTTCTTGTCTACCTGTTACTTATTTTGAGGGATTGATAAAGCATGCAACAATATATAATGTTCCTCCTATCTTATGTGCCATGAAGTATTCAAATTTCTGGAAGTTAAACAAAAGCTTCCTGCATCCTGTATATATAAGTGCTGCTTATGTGGTAACCTTTTCAGTACTCCTACTGAATAAGACAGATAATTGGTCCATAAATCTAACACATTTAGACCAAATCTTTAAATTCGACTCAGCGTATAATAGATCTATTTATCATGGTATTTGACCAATATCAACATGGTGTTTGACTTTCGGTGTAATTAATTCCTTAATTCTGGATCCAGCTCTAGAAGAAGATATGCACTTATTTGATTTATCTTTTTTAATTAAATTTATGAAGTTATTGAATCACTTCTATTCCAAAATTAATTTCTTAATTCTGGATCATACAGTTAAGGTAGTTTAGTTCAATTTCTTTTTCCAAAATTGTTTCATCTAAGGTCATCCTTTATAAAAGACTAAACTTATATTGGTCAGAATCTTAAGCTCCCCCAAACGATCCCTTAATATGCTTTTGTTTGACCATGAAGATTTTCTACTTCCCCCCATGAGGCCTACACTTTAGCTTGGAGCAGATGCATTAATTCTGGTGCATTTGTGTTAGACTAGTCGCCATGCTTTTATTTATATAACCGTCTCATCTGATTATGCTGCTTATGCTTATTTCTAACCGTTTCTTCTAATTATGCTGCTTTTGCATGAGCCTGTGTTTATGACTTTGTACGTATATAAAATGAACAAACTATGTACACCATAGCTCCACTCTCAGGCTGTCTATTAGATATGAGCCATACTTTAGATTTATTGAAATCAGTTATGCTACAGTGACTGCAAGTTTCACTGATGACAACACTGTTTGACAGGGCGTCAACAGAATCGTTGGAATATTCAGCCGTTGTAAGGATGCGCTTCCCAGTAGTCAGCAGCTCAAGTCTCTGCTTCCGACTCGCGTGCTCCCTCAAGAGCCAGTGAGTGCGTGAGTGGGACTCGCGTGGCAAATTTTGATGGCAGGCATCGCTATAATTGAGTTTTTGTTTTCTGATATGGTTGGAGGTAGCAGATTATTTTTTGTACTAGCGCAACCGTTTGATCTTTGTCCTTGTGTAAATTTGTGGGGGTATTGATCTTGCTCGTGGAACCAAAACATCATTATTTGTACTCTGTACTCCGTACGTACTAATTGTAAAAATACAGGAGAACAACACACGCGAACATCTATCTGTACCTGCTTTTTTGCCGCTGATAATTGCTACTCTCTCTTTTTCACGTTAATTTTTTATGGTATAAGACGCTTTGAGTATTAAATAGATTGATGTATGAGAAATTGAGACAAACGTCTCATTCTCATAACGTGAGACGGAGGGTGGGATACGGAGGACTTTCGGGCATTAGCTTAGATCAGAACCATTTCATCCAAAAAGGGCACGCTTGTGATCGGACTCGGAGCAGTGTTTTTCAGTGTCAGGGCTGTGGTGTGTACCCTTTTGCCGTTGCCAAGCCATTAGCCGTCATCTTGCTTGCCCTCTGTAAAAATGAGCTTCGGTTTTGGAGGCCATCGAACTCAGTAACGTCTCTCGCCCATGCATGCTGGACATATGTCTGGGGCATTTAACTTTTTGCTATTTCTAAGATGTGACAATTAAGAATTACCACTCGTAGTCTATAATATATAGGTTCTCATGTGTTATCACAGTCTATGAGCCCTCATATGTCTATGACATATAACATATGAGGGTCTAGTGGCAAAGTCTTAATTGTCACTTGTAAGAATGGCAAAAGGTTAAATATCTGATAAGTTTTCTGTATTCGCCATGCATGATCGTTGGGCTCTTCCGCTGCTGCAATCTTGTCGAGCTATACACAAGTTTGTTAGTATCTCGATCCATAAATATGTAAGCATACTAAGATCCTACCAAACCGAAACGATATGGATTTTACCTAGTATCCTGATTTTTATAGTATTTCGATCTTATTATTTGTTTTTACATGATTTTACGAAATCTTAGATAGTATCTTGATTCTACGTGATCATATAAAATATTATTTAAAATAAGATAGATTAGTAATATTGTGAATAAATATGCTCAAGTTTACATTAAAAACCAATTAAATTTATCAAAATTAATATTACATGATTCAGTATTATATATTTTGTATAAAAATGTGTATTTTTTGAAATCTGATAGTATGACGATTCTATAGTAGTATCTCGAATACTATAAATAAAAAACAATCTTATCTCGATACCGACTATCTCGGCTAAACAGAAATGGCTAGAGGTTGGGCCTTGGTCCTAGAGGTTGGGCCTGTTTAGGCTGTTTTTGGAGGTGGGGGTTGTGAACTCATCTCCCATACACGAAAAACGGAGCGGTCTATTAACACGTAATTAATTAAGTATTAGCTAATTTGTTTTCAAAAATAGATAAATATGATTTTTTAAACAACTTTTGTATAGAATCTTTTCGTAAAAAAACGTACCGTTTAGTGTTGGGAACTTGCTCTTGCAAATACACCCCTAGTTTACGAAAATAGAATTTTTAGATGTCACATCGAATATTTGATCAGATGTCGAAAGAGGTTTTTGGATACGAATGAAAAAACTAATTTCATAACTCGCCTGGAAACCGCGAGATAAATCTTTTGAGCCTAATTAATCCGTCATTAGCATATGTAGGCTACTGTAGCACTTATATCTAATCATGGACTAATTAGACTCAAAAGATTCGTCTCGCGATTTCCCCTTAACTGTGCAATTAGTTTTTTTAATCTATATTTAATGGCTTCATACTTATATCAAAGATTCGATGTGATATTTTCAGAAAAAATTTTTGGAAACTAAACTCAGTCCAAAGAGAACGCAGAAGGAACGCCTTCTGGCTTCCGATACTTTTTATTTGACGACAGAGGGGATCTAAACACTGTTGTCGTTCGGACTTGGGACTCGGGAAGGTCTGACGCAGAAAGCTAGTAGCTGCTTTCTATTAATACACACACAAATTCGACGCTTTGGCCGAGTGGTTAAGGCGTGTGCCTGCTAAGTACATGGGGTTTCCCCGCGAGAGTTCGAATCTCTCAGGCGTCGTTTTATACTTTTATTTTTTTCTATTTGTAAAAAACTACTCCCTCCTTGTTTTTTTATACTTTTATTTTTTTCTATTTGTAAAAAACTACTCCCTCCTTGTTTTAATGTGTGACGCCGTTGACTTTTTAATCAACGTTTGACCACTCGTCATATTCAAAAATTTTATGCAAATATAAAAATACTTATATCATGTTTAAAGAACATTTGATGATAAATCAAGTCAAAATAAAATAAATTCTAATTATACAAATTTTTTGAATAAGACGAAAGGTCAAACGTTGTCAAAAAGTCAACGGCGTCACACATTAAAATACGGAGGGAGTACGTAATTAGCCAAGTGCCCTGCGGAGGAATTCGCATTCTACCGGTACATGTACCGTACTACCGTATAGAACTTTATATAGTTCCTACTATATACATTATTACACACATTTTTCTCTACATCACATGAATCTTCAATGTTTGAATCGCGCGGCAACTTAAAAGTGCCCTGTGGAGAAATTCACATTCTACTGGTACATACATCAATCATTACACATATTTTTTCCTACATCACATGAATATTCAATGTTTGGATCGTGCGCAACTTAAGAAAAGATTATTTATTATTTATATCTATGGCGCTGCAACGTCAAACTCTTCATTCCTACCTCTATTTCAAAATGTTACTATCTAATACTGGATATGATACATTCCAGCTATGGAAATAACATATTATAGGATGGAGAAAGTATAAAACATTTAGAATATTTTTACATTGTAATTTTCATTACTTACACGTTAAATTATATATATATTTATACAGTAAATTTTAAACCTTTACATAGTAAATAGGAGTAAATTGTAAAACTTACACAGTAACATTACACATTCACATGAAACTGACAAATCAAAACGCAGTTACTGTACTTTTTCTTCCGACATAAAGACTAGACACCGAGACAATATTAGACAGTATGGTGGATAAAATTCTAGGGGGAAAGCACGCGGCGTGCCGATGAGAGAGAGAGAGTAGCTGGAGGTGGTGGCCAAGGGAAGGTCAAGAAGGTCCTAGGAGAGCTTCTATGGCCTGCCGTGGAGGCCGATCGGTGCCAAGGAAGCAGATGGCCGGGGTTAATGGCGGCGGTAGCAGTGAGTGGACTTCGATCTAGCAATACAATGAGATTAAAAGCCCAATTCAAGGGAAAAACATGGGGAATTAAAATCCCTTGCTTGTGGGAACTGATTTGCTCATTTGATTCGAAGAAACCACAAACGGGGGAGCCGAATCGAGTGGCGACATCGGCTAGGGTTCCTCAGCGCCGTAGCAGCTAGGATGGAGACCGACGTGAGCCAAGTATGATGGATGGGCCATTGGCTTAACGGGTCTTTGGGCACGAGAGAGACTGGGTGGGTGAGTGCACTGGGAGAAGGCGAGTGAAGGAATAAGTTCACTTTGGGTCCCTATCTTTGCGTCGAGTTCGAATTTCATTCATAATCCACAATACCAATATAACACGTCCCACAACTAACAAAATTGGATTACTGGAGGTCGCTAGGTAGTATTACGTTCGGTTTTGGCTGTCATGGCAAGTTGACCGAAGTTAACAATGCTGAGTCAAATGTGAGACCCGCATGTCAGCGGGATCTTTCTTTCTCCTCTCTCCACCTCTTTTCCCATCTTCTCCGGAGCAACGGCGCACAGCTTGGTTGGGGGTGTGGGGGGGGGGGGGGCAGCGCCCGGTGGAAGAGGAGTCGGTGGTCTTTGTGGCCGGTAGTGGGCGGCGGGAAGATGGGCGGTGCAGCGCTTAGCGGGAGAGGAGTCGGCGGCCTCCGTGCGTTCGTCCCCGGCCTTGTCAGCCTAATTGGCATTTGAATCGTGGCGTACAATTCTTCGAGTGACTTGTCAGCCACCAAGGCCGTGCTCTTCTACTTACAAACCTGTTAACTGAATAAGATGATCAAATCTAAGACCGTATTGCACGGACAGAGAAGCATGCAGCAACGTCAAAAGCCAAAAGAAAGAGAAAAGGCACAATCGGTTGACACGCCTGGACGTACTGGTAGTCTGCCATTGCCAAATGAAGGCTCTTGTTGGAGAAGATGACTCCGCCACCGTACATCTCCCTGCGTGGAGCAGCTCAGGCTGCCTCGCCTTTCTTCCTGCATCCTGCTGCTGCAGCCTGTGGTGCACCATGCATGCGTCACGAATCCGCGGCTCAGATGACGCTACAGTGGCGAGTGATGGTGAGATGTTTTACTTGGGGTGGCGGGGGCTCGACAGGCGGCGGTGGTGCAGGGTGGCGGGTGGTGGCGCCGGTGATGGGGATGGGCTGGCCCCTGATGGGGAAGTAGTGGTTCTTGTCCGGGTCGTAGTAGAAGACAGGCAGCTCCGCGAGCGATCGCCCCGATGTCAAAGACTAGAGAGGGAGGAGGAGTCCACGGAAGGGAACAAGTACGGACCTTTTGAGGGAGGAGGCGTCATCTCGCCGGCGTGGTCGAGGGTTAAAGAAGGGCCTTGTACCCCATCGTGCGCCGTACAGGCCAGAGACAAATGCGCGGAGGCCACCGACTCCTTTCCCGCCGGGCGCCGCCCTTCTTTCCGCCGCCCACCGCCCACTGCAGAGGCCGCCAACTCCTCTCCCGCCTGTCACCGGGCGCCGCCCGCTGCACACCATGCACGCCGGCGCTCTGGAGAAGACGGGAAAGAGAGAGGAAAAGAGGAGGAAGACATGTTGCTGATGTATGGTCCCATGTGGTCTTACACTTACTCAGCGTTGTTGTTGACTCCGATTAACATGTCACATCAGTTAAAAACGGACATAATGCTGTAGAGGACTTCTGGTAATCTTAATTTGTTAGTTGATGGACGAGTTATATCTGGTATTACGGTATAGGGATAAAATTCAAACTCAATGTCAAAATGAAGGACCTAGGGCTTCGACCTTTCAGCCCGGAAGGAATATGGGCTTTATTTTAACCTTTCCTTTTGATCATTATTTCTTTTGAGTAATTACATTCCATATGTTAGCCTTGTTTATTTTTCACAACCCGAGTTATTCATTTTTCACATGCATTGCTGTCCGAAGAAACTCTCTAGGTTCCCTTACGACCACATGCATGAAATGAATTTTAATCTACATAAAGGGATAATTGGAATTACATTACCATAGTACTGAATTTTTTTAAAGGACGACTATTCATTCAAATGGTTCTCGCCCCTAGGCCGCAGCAACGAGAAAGGGGCAAAGACCACAGTCCAATTGCCTCCATCAAGCAGAGGAGAGACCAAAGACGCCTCTCGCGTCACCCTCCCCAATGGGCAACCCACCTCGCCGCCGCTCAAGCATTTGTAGGAAAAGCCACGTGGCCGTAAGGACGGTGGTGGTAGGGCTTTGTCCTCCTCACACTCGGGCGGCATTGGGACCTGCTTAGGACGGTGGGACCGTCTAGATCCGTGTCATCTGGCCGGGTCTAGCGGAGCTGAGTGGTGGGGCGATGGCGACTGGTGGTGGTGGTGGCGGCAGAGGAGACCGCCTAGATCTGCGCCCCGGCTGGATCTGGTGGGGTGGCGACTGGTGTCGGGGCTGAGTGGGATAGGCGGCGGCGACTGGTGGTGGCGGCGGTGGCGAAGGGGACCACTCAGATCCATGCCTAGATCTGGTGGGGTGGCGACTGGCGGTGGGGTCGACTGATGGTAGCGGTAGCGACGATTGGTAGTGGCTGGGTCGAGTGGTGGTGGTGGCGGCGACGGTGAGCATAAGCCACCGCCCGACAGGCTTGCCAGGCCATGGCGACAGCGACAGTGACGGTGGAGGAGATGAAACGGCGACGACGGCAACCCAGCGGTCTCGACGCGGCGCGAGCCTTCCTTGCTGGTGCTGGACGTGACGGCTTGGTCTGTGTGGTGAGCGTCTGGCCTCTACCCGGGTAAGATCTGATTCCCTCCACCAGATTTGGGGTGAGAGCGTCGTACTTCGGTGGACGTTCCAGTGCCACGACATTTGGACGGCGGGAGCTTTGTGATAGAGGGTATCATTGGCATGGTGCGGAGGGTGGCAAGGTGGCAAGGCGACGACAAAACGGTCTGGTGGCCCGATGTGACGCGAGCAACGGGATTGTGGAGGAGTCGGCGGTTGCTCTGTTAGGAGGGGAGCTCCGGTATTTCGACATGCCCCAATCCATGCTTTTGTCCTCTTGCAACGGCGCCTTTACCCACAAAAGATGGCCTCGTCGGGCGGGCTAGTGTGGGGAAGAGGGGATCCATTCTTCTCTCTCACCCTCTCTCCATCCAACCCAACTGTGTGGATGGAGCCGACACGTGTTGGGGGTTGAGCTCCCCCATGACGGTTGGCCGTCGGCGTGGCGCCGACATGGTGGCTGTGCGTTGAAGGCTTTTGATGGTGGTGGCAGCAAAGTGTGCAGGAGTTTATTTTTTGGGAGGGGTGAAAATTTGGGCGAAAGCTCTGCCTTCGAGCTGGCAACAACGACGCCTGCGGGCGTCGCTTTCCTCTTGGGGTGTTGTTGCATTTTCTTGTCTCAATTACTTTCTTCAGGTAAAAACCATGTCCTGGCTCCCCGAGACAGGGGGCAGCGATGCTCTTTGTGTCGTTTCCTTCTTGGAGGCGTCGTCTCGAAGATCTCCTGTTTTGTTCTTGTAGCGGGTGTTGTTGTAAATGCGCGTGTGGTTTGCTTTTTTTTTTCCCGACTATGGTCTTCCAGCATTATAGACTTGTATTTTTTCCTGCTATATCAATACATGAAACTCGTACTATTTCGTGCGGTTCGTTTAAAAATAAATTGCCTCAATCAAAAGCATCTACTACTGCGTAAAAGAATGTTGCCTGAATACTGAATCATCCGAACTACTACCATTGTTCCCAAATTAGATGTTATTTTGACTTTTTTTTACAATATTTGACCATTCGTCTTATTTAAAAAATTAGTGCAAATAAGAAAAATGCTAAGTCATACTTAAAGTACTTTTAATAATAAAATAAGTCACAAATAAAATAAATAATAATTTCATAATCTTTTGAATAATACAAATGGTCAACGTAAAAAAAAAACCTTAAAGCCACAAATATTTTGGAAAGGGAGTATATTCTGACTGAGACGCTAAAACTCTGCACCAATGCAGTTCCAAGCATTACACATCATCTCATACGTATACGTAGTACTGCTGTTTTTCTTCATGTAGTTACCCTTCTAGAAAAGCAATCCTCCCCATCTGATTGACAAAAATGACTCCGAAGAAGTCAATTGGAACCTCTCAACCCCAGCCTGTGTTTCAGTAAGCGACCCCTCGTCCATGTCAAGTATATATTGCCATACGCGCGTAGACGGCACGTGCTCCCTAGCCAGTCTGTCTAGAAGCCTTTTGCATATATATCCAGCCGTTACCGAAACTGCTTGCATCACCGCTGATATCATCGCCTCCACCACCCGCCTCTCAGTCTCTTTCCGACCACGCATATATGTATACTGGAAGGTCAAACCGGCCACGGGCGCCGCTATAAATACAACTTTCGCCTCACCTCGAGTCTCATAACACAGACACACACCAACACAAGCGAGAGACAAGCAGTCTCAAGCTAGCAACCAAGCAAAATAGGAGCTAGTAAGCAAAGCAAGAACTAGATCGATCTCTGACAGGGAATGGCCATGGGATTGTTAGCGTGGATGGTGGCAGCGGCCGCGGCGGCGGTGCTGGCGTCGTGGGCGTTCAGCGCGGTGGTGCACCTGGTGTGGAGGCCCCGCGCCATCAGCAGGCGCCTCCGGGCACAGGGCGTGGGCGGGCCGGGCTACAGGTTCTTCTCCGGCAACCTCGGAGAGATCAAGAGGTTCCGCGGCGATGGCGCTGGCGTCGTGCTCAACGTCTCCTCCCATGACTTCCTCCCCATTGTACAGCCACATTTCCGCAAGTGGATTCCCCTATATGGTAACATATTTAACCGAGTTCTTTTTTTTTTTTGGATTTATCCGGGTTCTTTTAATACACTCATCAGTCCCAAATAGTTTAGAATAATAATTGTCATACTTCTAAAAATTTTGTCGACCATGGGTAATTTCTCATAGGCTTACTTTTTTTTTTAAAAAAAAGATATGGCATGCATAAATTTGCTAAATTTTATGAACTTATTGTACTGTATAATCTGATGATGTTTAAACTTTTAAAAGTTTGACCGAATCTTATATAGTTATACTTAAAAAAGTTGAATATTCATGATCGGATGGAGTTCTGGTTTTATATGAGTATCATAATTTTTAGTGTTAGTTTATAATATTTGTGCATTTATGTATTACAGGAAGGACATTCCTGTATTGGTTCGGAGCACAGCCAAACATATGCTTGGCTGACGTGAGCATGGTGTGGCAGGTATTGTCAGACCGGACGGGGATATACCCCAAGAACCTGACGAACCCTCACTTTGTGCGTCTACTTGGCAAGGGGCTTGTGCTCACTGACGGCGATGAGTGGAAGCGCCACCGCAAGGTGGTCCACCCGGCCTTTAACATGGACAAGCTCAAGATGATGACGATGACCATGTCTGACTGCTCTCGGTCCATGATGTCGGAGTGGGAATCGGAGTTGGCGGCGAAGGGTGGTCTTGTTGAGATTGAGCTAAGCAGGCGGTTCGAGGAGCTCACTGCCGATGTGATCTCGCACACGGCGTTTGGTAGCAGCTACAAGGAGGGGAAGCAGGTCTTCCTGGCACAGAGGGAGCTCCAATTTCTTGCCTTCTCCACCTTCCTCACTGTTCAAATTCCAGGGTTTAGGTACACACATTATTAACTTATCCCAATACAAATAGAATTAGAAAGAACACAAAATGATATATCGGTGCTTTTTTTCTTTTTTGAAAATGAATCAGCTACCTTCCGACCATGAAAAACTTCAAGACATGGTCGCTCGACAAGAAGGTGAGGGGCATGCTCATGGACATCATCAAGACCCGGCATGCCAACAAGGATGTAGCTGGGTATGGGAATGACCTACTTGGGTTGATGCTGGAGGCATGTGCGCCGGAGCACGGGGAGAGCTGCCCACAACTGAGCATGGATGAGATCATTGACGAGTGCAAGACCTTCTTTTTTGCAGGGCATGACACCACATCACACTTGCTCACCTGGACCATGTTCCTGCTGAGCACGCACCCAGATTGGCAGGAGAAATTAAGGGAGGAGATTGCAATGGAGTGTGGTGACAAGGTGCCCACTGGTGACATGCTCAACAAGCTAAAGATGGTCAACATGTTCCTCCTAGAGACCCTAAGGCTGTACAGCCCTGTCTCACTCATACGGAGGAAGGTTGACACTGATATTGAGCTCGGCGGCATCAAGATGCCTGAGGGTGCACTATTGACGATCCCGATCGCGACAATTCACCGTGACAAGGAAGTGTGGGGGGAGGATGCGGATGAGTTTAGGCCGGAGAGGTTCGAGAATGGGGTGACGAGGGCAGCGAAGCACCCCAACGCACTACTCTCCTTCTCCAGCGGACCGAGGTCATGCATTGGGCAGAACTTTGCAATGATCGAGGCCAAGGCTGTCATTGCCATGATCCTACAGAGGTTCTCCTTCACTTTGTCCCCCAAGTACGTCCATGCACCCACTGATGTGATCACGCTGCGTCCCAAGTACGGGCTCCCTATGATCCTCAAGAGCCTCAAGCTGTAGGGAGAAATACGTAAGAAATATATGAATTGTCCTTTCTCTTCTATAAGAGTTTGCCACTTCGCTGGTAGGAGTTATTTAGAACTAATTGGTTGTACATGATACATCAATTTTGTTGATGTTATTCAGACAATGTATTTGTATATTTCATTTTAACAAAATTTGGATGTGGATTTGCTTTTTGATTGGGTGTAAGAAGTTTTGCTTATTTATTGCTCATCAACCAAGTAGCAATGTGATGTATGTTACGTATCTAAGGTCAGAAAAAAAGATCATACTCATGGTTGTGTAATACTCTAAGTCAATATGTACTTTGTATACATTACTTCTTGATACTATAATGATCTTTGGATGCGTAAAATATAGTAATTTGGGAGAAGTAATATTACAATCTCAACAGTTCCGATTATCTAACATACCCCATTCACTCACCCCTTAACATTCAATGCCATTTAGTTTACCACCTCCTAGCTTTCCACCCTTGATTTGGGCCATTGGATGCCCACAACTGTTACAAGATGGGCCATTCGAGCTGCCCCATCACTACCGGTTTTCATTTGTAATCAGATTTGATGCCACTGGAACCAGCTAGTCTATGTAGCTATGTCCCAACTTGATCCCCCACCATCACAAGCAATGATACTGAGTACCTAGATCCATGAGCTCTCCTCTCCTCCTCCTATCCCGGTGAGCCCTCTCCTCATCCAAACTTAGGTGAGCTTCTTCTGCAACTCCGATGAACTCCATGATTCATCGTTAGTGAGCATCTAGCTCCAGGGAACTCTGGCAGTGTCACACCTAGAAATTTAGCCCAAATTTCCAGACTATTTTGTGTATTAAATCCCTGTCCAGGAATCAGCCAGGGTACACAAAACGACAAATTAATATACAGATCCAAACAAAAATAAAGCGCAAAATACTTATAGAAGAGGCACTTAGTCCTCACATCGAAACGAAAGCAACAACAGCGGAAAAAAGGCGATCCTAGAGGGGCTTCAGCTCCACTCCACAGGCAAAACTCAACTGGGGTCTGATCTTTGGTTCTCTAACTTTGTCTTCACCTCAGAAGCACTACACTTATGAAAAAGGGGGGATAATAGCAAGCTAAGTAAACCGCCGTACTCAGCAAGCCACACCAACGATGCAGACGTGCAAGTGGTACAAGGATGATTTGTTGCTATTTGCATAAAGGCGGTTGTAAACATTTTAGAGTTGAAAACAGTAAAACAATTGATAATTAAGGCATTATAAAATCTCCACTTAACAACGCTACACCACGTTGTATAGGCCCAACTAAACCACCTGAACTACACCGGTTTATTAAGCCAATTTATTAAAGGTGAAACTAATCACGGTGATTCTGGTCGATCGCCCATAACCGCGAGCATGGCTATTCAAATAGTTTTACTCTGGCTAGAGGTGCACAACTGTACCCACAAGACACAATCCATCGGCATGTGACCATGCCTGTGCAGAACGTCACCATGTCGAGTGATTGTGACAAGACCCTTCGCATAACTCCCCCTAACCAAGCAATGCCACACCTCATGTTTAGCCCCTGCTCCCCAACAGGCAGCGGGCAGCCCCCCTCGTGCCTAGTGTTGGTAATTCTTACGGCCACAGATAAAATCCGCAAGCGCACGGATATACCGATGTAGCACTTCCTCTACGGAGTATTCCAAAGGGTATCGAATCCAAGGGAACGTGTGTGGTCAGATCTTCCTCCGGTTCATCCAAGGACACCAAGCAAATGATAGGCAGGATAGTGAGGATTTACTGGTGAGAAACAGTGTCTAGGGAAAGCTTAAGTTTAATCCTAACGCAATACTTCAGGCACCGGCAACCCGTTGTTCCCAGATGTTGCTCTACTACGTACCCGGACAGGGAGGACTTAAGTGATCTCGAGGGCTGTCACCACCTCTACACCTACCTCAAACGTACTGTGGGATACACAGCAATTACTGGATAACAATTACCTAAACACCACGTCTAAGCAATTAATATCTACTTTAGAGTTTATAACTCACTAAAGCAATCACTATACTTTAGTTGATTATAGTGAACAATAATCCCGTATGCTATTTATGAACTAACCAAGAGATAATTCTCACAAGATAAGTCTAAATTACTCAAGAAGAATATTATATTGAAATCAGAGTAATGAACAGAATAATAGAAATGAGAGAAGATTACCGACAACTCCATAATTCTCCCGACTTCTTCTACTTTACTCTCTTCCTATTCTAGTATACAATATAGTACAGTAGAGCCTCTTATAATTAAGCTCAAGCTTGGAAGTGTGTGTTGAAGTGAGTGAGATGATATCCTTATATAGGGGTAGGCATGACGGTTGTACAACGCGAATTGTCGGAAATGCCCCGCAACCACCATCAGGAGATGATCAGGACCGTCCACACGAAAGCCCAGCCTGAACGGCTGAGATTTTGGTTCGGCCGAACCCCCTGGCCTGGCTTTTGGCCCATCTCCTCCTCTGGTCCTCCTCTATCTATTTCTCAGAATTTTGGGCTGATTCTTTGGTATTTTGATGAAGTGCACAACTCATCCTTGTGTGGATACATGTTTCTCCTCACTTTAGTCTGATTTTCCTCCCAACTTCGGGGTTTAACACCTGCATACAAATATACACCAACACTTGTGGAATATGTGAGATTTAACACTTCGGGGTTTTATTATATGGATTTTATGTAGATGTTGGCGGTATAGAATCGGTATTTAATAACCACCAACACCTAGGTGAATCCGGAAGTAGAAAAGGTTGTCGCAGGGCCCATCCTAACTCCATCACGCTCACCCTTGCTGCGGTACGTTAGCCAGAGGAAAGTTTTACCCATTCCCGCTTGTGGTAAGCGCGGTAAATCATCAGTACATCCCGCGAACCGGTCCTTAATTGCCATGGGTGCAACTAGCAAAGCCATGCACCCACATCCCACCATTCAGTCGCATTTTAGTTGGATAATTACAACCATTGAAACATGGCCGGATGTCTCGAGCACGCAGCTCGTCATGATACTAAGTGTCTAATATTGTAATTATCCCATTATGTGAGCTAGTGGTAATTAAGCATGGTTAAGCATTTGTGATTCTAGCTAGGTGAACATAAGTAACACAATCTAGTCAAATTATCACCCAAGTTTGTCAATGAATGGATATGAAGTAATATGGCACAAGCGAGCAGATAGGTAATCATATAATCCCATGTACTTCCTCCGTTTCAGGTTATAAGACTTTCTAGCATTGCCTAAATTCATATATATGTTAATGAATCCAGACATATATGTGTGCTTAGATTCATTAACAACTATATGAATGTAGGCAATGTTAGAAAGTCTTATAACCTGAAACGGAGGTAGTAATTAGCAAGGCATGCAATTTTATTTGCAAATGATAAAACGTTTATAAAGTTGGATCAATATGCTCAAGAGGAATGTGGGACTTGCCTTGCTTCTTCAATTCGATCTTCTGAACTCTTTTCCTCGTGATCTTCCTAAACGGCGGAATCTACGCGCTAGCATACAAAACGAGGAAAAACACTAATAAAAACCAAGTAAATAGTACATAAAAAGTAAACAATCATGTAGAGCTCCATTTTAGATGAATTTTGCAAGTTGAATGGCTCAATTTGGAGTTCATATGATTTGGTTATGAATTTTAGAAGTTTTGAGCCATTTAAATGAATTTCTAGAATTAAAATCGATTTATTGCGCAATTACTAAATATTTTCCAAAGGAAAAAGGACAGTGCTAACGTCATCAAGGGGAGGGGAAGCAACGGCAAGCAGACCCCACCGGTCAGCGGCACAAGGGCGCCGGTCACCGTGGAGTGGGACCACCGAGGCGGTCCACTGCCGGTCCACAGGAACCGATGGCCCGGATCAGCCCAAGCCGATCGGGCAGCCACGGGGCGGTGTGGCTGGGGCACGGGCTTGGCACAAAGCCGGCTTGGCCGACCATGGCGAGCGATGGCGCAAGCGTGATGACCGGCAGTGGCGGCCGGCGGCACACGCTCGGGAGCGGCGACACACGAGGGTAGGCGGCGGCGCGTGGCGCTAGGAGGGAAAGGAGGAGGAACCCGGGGGTTTTCTCACCGAGTGCTCGGCCAGCGCCCGGCGCACAGGAAGACAACGATGAACGGCGACGGCGAGCGACGGAGGATGACAACAAAGGGTGGACGGGCTCGAAGAGGACCTAAGGAAACAGTTGAGAGGGGTTAAAGGGAGAGAGGGAGTCCACAGCGAGCGAGGGCGCCGGCCGAAGGCGGCCGCAATGGCGAAGCTCACCGTCGCATGGTGGAAGGCAACTCTCGGCGGCGGATTTGACTGAGCGACCGGCGGACGAGGCGGCCCTTGGGCTTGCGAACCCAACAGCGGTGATGGCGCGGTCCGGCGGCCACCCTAGCGGCGGTCGAAGGTGGAGAAATGATGGCGGTGGCGGGTGTGATGGTGCAGGAGTGGTAGGGTGCACGGGAGTGATCGGCGAAAGATGGAAAAAGACGAAGGAGGTGAGGGCGTGGTTTATATAGGTGCGGCGAGGCTGGACGTGGCCGAGAGGGGGCTCAAAACCGCCGGTGACGTGGGGGGAGATTGGCGATGGCTCAGCGCCGTTTTTTGCGGGGATAGTGGGGGTAGTGGGCACGAGGGTGGGTGGAGGCCGGTCCACGCGCACGCGGGGCGGGGTGGAGCATGGGAGAAGCGGCGACGTGGGGCGAGACTGGCGGCCATGGCGGCGGTTGGAGGCGGGCTGGAGGTGGGAGGAAGAGCTGACGGGTGGGGCCCACAGGTCCACCTGTCGGCCGGAGGGAGAGAGAGGAGGCCAGAGGGGAGGCGGAATAGACTTTCGCGAGGGGTAAGGAAAAAGGGCTGACGACGCAAGAGAGGAGAGGGGAGGCCGGCCTGAGAGAGAGAGAGGGGGTGCGCGGGCCGCGGGAGGGGAAGGGGGCTTTGGGCAGGAAGCGGCCCAAAGACAATGAAGGGGATTTTAATTTGTTTTTCTTTTTATTTAATGGATTTAATGAACTTTGTGCTATTAAAATTACTTCCTGAGCTCCGAAAATTCACGGGAAATTTCAGAGAATATATTAGGGCATAGAGAATATTACAAAATAATTTCCTGCCATGATTTTTAAGGAAATTTTAATTTCCTCATTATTTTACTTGACTGAATTGCTTTATTTTTTAATATAATTTCTAGAAATGATTTATTTAATGATGTTTAATCCCGAACGAAAATCGGGGCATTATAGGTAGGTCCTTCAAGTTAGCGCTTTGGGTTTGGGTTAGGGGGGGAGGTGTGAAGAGATCGGGATTTCCTTGATTGAGGGTACGACAGAAAAACACGTTGGGGTATATCTTGTTATGCCCAT